ATCTTCATTATGTGTTTCTACCCTGCCTGCTCTCTGTAATCTAGCCAAACTGGTTTTCTCTCTTCCACACACTCCATGTCTTTATATTATCGATGCTGTTCCGTCTTTTCAGTCCTGTCTGACTCTTCATGACCCCATTTGGGGTTTTCTTGGCAGAGATATTGGAGTAGTTTGCTATTTTTTTCCCTCCAGCTCATTTTAAAGATAAGGAAACTGAAGCAAACAAGGTTAAGTAACTTGCCCAGGGACACACAGCTAGTAAGTGTCTGAGGCCAGATTTGAATTCAGGGAGGGGAGGCTTCCTGACTTCAGGCCCAGTGCCCTATGCACTATGGTGCCACCTAGCTGCAACCCATGCCTTTATACTAGCAGTATTCCACGGTTGTGATGCAGTCCTTCATCATCTTCACTTCATAGCATCTTTTTCTTCCTTTAAGATATATCTCAAGCACTACATGTTACATGGATCCTTTCTTAATCTCCTAAACTATTAATGGTCTCCTTCTCAAACTATCTTGTATTTAACTATTGTGTATTTGTATTCCTTCTTTTTATTTTTTTTATTTATATTTATTTATCTATGTATTTATTGTATCCCTCATTAGAATGTAATCTTTAGGAGCAGAGATTGTTTCATTAACTGTGTTTGTATTACACCCAGCACCTAGCACAGTGCCTGAGCCATAATAGGTGCTTAATACATCAATTAATTAGCAGTGGATGGATAGAGCTCTAGGTCTAGAGTCATAAACACCTGAGTTCAAATCCAGCCTCAGACACTTACTAGCTTTTTGACTCTGGGCAAGTCACTTACTCTCCATCTGCCTCAGTTTCTTCAACTGTAGAATGGAGATAATAAAAGCATCTATCTTCACAAGGGTGTTGTGAGGGTCAAATGAAATAATATTTGTAAAGCCCTTGGCACAGTGCCTGACACATACTAGGAGCTTAATAAATGCTTATTCCCATCCCCTTAATAAATGCTTGTTGATTGACTGTGACCAAAAAAGGACTACTAATTAAAATCTATATTAAAGTACATTTACTGAAACCAAGTGGAAAGTAAAAGGTCTAGTGTATTAAAATTCTGGAGCAGCAAGGCTACTTTTCTGGAAGGTCTGAAATCTCTTCTCTCCTTGTCTTTATCTTCTCTCCCTGTTTTTCCAAAGATATACCTGAAGGCCTTTTTTGGAAAAGTGGTTTCAGCATCCTGATCTCAAATCCACAGGGAGAAAAGCAGGGCTTAAATCACTTCATTGAGTTCCTACTGCCCTAATTCCTCATGTGGCAAACGATCTTCCCCTAGCTAACCAGTCAGGCAAATGATCTCCTTATCTCAGCTCACGTCTGTGCAATCAGATTGGGATGGTTAGCTTCCTCCTCCTCCTCTTCTCCCAGAGTCTCACCTGTGTCTCCTCCAACAGTGCCATGGACAAACCTGGTCTACAAAAGCAAATGCCTTCCAAGCAGACCCTGTCAGTGAGAGACACACAGAGATAGAGAGACAGAGAGAGGGGGAGAGAGAGAGAGAGAGAGAGAGAGAGAGAGAGAGAGAGAGAGAGAGAGAGAGAGAGAGAGAGAGAGAGAGAGAGAGAGAGAGAGAGGGAGACTACTATGGCTCTCACAGTTGCCTTTTATGATGACTGAGCATTTCCAACCCCACTTCCATCTCTTTGGTACCCAACAGCAAATTCAGAGGAAAACCAATAGGTGTCTTTGACTTAAACAATTAGTGCTTCCGACTCAAAGGAGGCTGCCACAACAAATGCTATAAAGAAAAAAGCCAATTCCAAGTACCAGTGGCCACAGAGATGGTGCCAGAACCACACTGACATGGTGGAATGAGTCCCCACCCTAACACTCCTGGATGGATTCCAACTCTTGTTCTTCTTGTTCCTGACACCGCGTAATGTAACCAAGGTACGTCACCTCTGTGAGCTCCAGTTTTCCAGCAGTAAAGTGGGGAGGATTTTTTTTTACTCCCTACTCAGAGGTTGTCTCAAGGAAAGGGCTTTGTAACCGTAAGAGGATTGCATCAATGGGATCTAAGTGACGAAGCAGAGGAGGTTGTTTAGATGGTGGTGACTTTCTTGCTATGATTACAACTGTAATTTTGCAGTGATGACCAGCATAACTCAGGGACATCAGAAGAAAGAATTAGATGTCTCTTATGTAATTCTTAGAGATATCATAAGTGGGTGGGGAGGGGAGGAGAAAGAGAAGGTAATAAGCACTTATTTATTAAGCATCTACTATATGCCAGGGTACTGTGCTAAGCACTTTACAACTATTATCTCATTTGATGAAAAACACAGGGAGGGGGCTCTAGACACCCACCCCTGCAGAATTCGAGGGAGTAATAGTGACAAAACTTTACCCACTAACCAAGCTTTCAATTGTGAGAGGGACAGACTGGGAAAAGGGAAATTTGGGAGTAGTCAGTGCTAGGCAGCAGAGCTGAAGGATGACCCTTAATACCTAGAGAAATCACTGTATTTGTGTGTGCCCCATGTGTATGTAGGAGCCCCATGTGTATCGTAGGAGTTCTTTTAGCCAGATTTAGCTGACTTCTTTCCCTATTTCTGGTATGGATTCCTCTGAATCTGGTTGCTTTTTTTTTTCCAGTGGATTTAGATAAGTACTATGCCTAAAGCTCTAAAAGAGGGGCTTCTCCTAGTCAGTTCACCAGGAATTATGGAGTGTCTTCTATTTGCAAGATGCTATGCTAGATGTTGTAGATACAAAAACAGAAATTTCCTGTCCTTGAGCCTACATTCTACTAGGGGATACAAAATATGAGAATAAGAGAAATCTGAATTATCTGAAATAAAAGACATCTGAAAGCATTTGTAAGCACCTACTATAACAGATAAATAAATATGAAATAATAGCACTAGGGAGAGCAGGGAAAAGTTCATGTATGAAAAGTGGCACTCAAGCTAAGACAGATAAATGTCAGCTCCAATAGCCTTTCCCACAGAGACTGTGCTGCTATTGTATCTTTAAGAGAAACAATAGAATCTTGAATTAAAAGAAGTTTAACTTATTCTGGAGAGTCTGTTTAAAGTGATGGCTTGAGAGAAATGAAGAAAATAAAGAGAGGAAGAGAACTTCTTTTCTGGTGAGAAGAGGATGAAGACAATTCCTAAGATTTTAGTTGATATCCTAAGTGAATAGAATGATGGGACTATTGTTTCAAAAGTAAGAAGTTATCAGTGGCTCAATGATAGTTGGAGGTGACTCTGACTGATCTTTCTCACATTTAAAATATTGTAAATAATTATGTGGGCCTTTGCGTTATTAGCTGTTGACTTATTAATAACTTGTATAACTTGTGATTTTGGTGTTTAGTTATTTGCAGAGAGATGAGAAGCTGCTAATGGGAGTGGGGGAAGAAAGGCGTATCCTTTTAAATTGGTGATGGGAGGAATCACAGTCAGATCTAATTGAATAGAAAATGAGAAAGGTTTCAATTTTAGTCATTAATAAAACAATTTCCAAATATACTTCTGAAGTACTTTAGAACTCAGGATGATGATGAGAATAAATATGATAAGTCTATAAATGTTTCTGTATAACATATAGATAGACATATATGAGACATAGGAAATTAAATTATATGTGTGTATATGTATATTGACATATATATATACATATGTGTGTATATGTACATGTATATGTACAAATACACACACACCCCATCTATCTATGGCCCAGAAAATTAAAGGGTCAGGAACAGAGTCTGGGCTGGAAAACCTGCCACAGAGAACCCTCTTGCTCGTTCTTTTTTAGAGACAGATGTGACGGCTGAGCTCTCATTGTTTCCATTCCTTCTCTGCACCTTGTCGCCTTAACCCCAATTCCTCCTCTACTCGCTGGCTTACTCTACTGTCCCTTCCACTTTTCTGGGATTGAGGATGGGAGTAGGAATGTAGTGAAATTTCAATGGTAGCTGTTGTAGTTATTCAGTAGTTTCAGTCCCATCTGACTTTCTATGACCCCATTTGGGGTTTTCTTGATGACTGGTTTGCCATTTCCTTCTCCAGTTCATTTTACAGATGAGGATTAAGTGAATTGCCAAGGGTCACACAGCTAGTGTCTGAAGCTGGTTTTGAACTCAGGTCCTCCTGACTCTGGGGTTGGCTCTCTATCCACTGAGACATCTAACTGTACATCTTCATTGGAAGACGGGATTGGAAACAAAAACAGGATGTCCACGAATGCTGCTTTGGTGATCAGAACGTGATCCTCCAGGCTCTGCTCATACGCTGAACATCAGCTGCTCAAAATCTCTGTTCTATGAACCTGACCTACTGCCCTCTCCCACAACACAGACTATATGCATGGGACTATGCTTACCATATGGAAGGACTTAAGGTTGAAGAATAGGAGAAGGGTTCCCTTCTACCTATCCACCCCATGCTTACATTCCCAGGACAAAGCTGCTAATAAATGTTAAAATTTTTAAAGAAAGACACCAAAGGAAGGTGCACGCAGCAGGGCTCGAGGCCTCACAAGTTTCTTAAGTATGTGGACAAATTATTTTTTCTGGTTCCTGTCCATCTCCCTACTCCTCAAGAGTAAATATCTCAGTTCCTGTTTATTACCCATTTAAATGTCCAGACATTCCAAGGAGCAACAGGTGATGGGAGGCCACTGGGGAAATTGGGGGAAGAGGAGGACAGGAGTTAGTCTACATGAGGCTAAACCAATCCCAACATGGTAAAACCCAAGCTCATTTGCATCCCTTAACTAGATTGGACAGCAACATATTAGGTCACAGAAATTATTTATTACAAGTTTTTGTTTACCAATCCAGTGGGTACTCAGCCCTACAGCACTTAGAGCAAATAATCCCTTCCTCTTACTACCACCCCCTCCCCCCATCCAGTTACAGGTAATTATCCATCCAGAATTTTCTGATTTAAGCTCCTGCTGCTGTTCTGACCTTTCTTGTATTACTTCACAAATGAATATGAATAATTCACACTATCCATGGAGAAGGTAAGGACCTGGAAGGAATTTATTGGGCTGGTACAAACAATATAAGATTCATTACGGAATTTTTTTTTATTACATTTGAGAGTTACAGAGACACCCACACAACATCTTCCCTCATACAGACACACATGAACAAAAGCATGTGGGACAGATTAGAATTATTATCCTCTCACCAAAAACATCAACAGCAAAGGACAGACATTAAACTCATGACAGATGGGGTGGGGTAGGGTTGGGAGTGCAAATGGTAAGGGTGACACTGCCACAGAATCTCATCCTCCCAGCACTAGAAGAAAAATCTGAAAGCATTTGTAAGCACTTGCTATAAGCCAGGCACTGGGAATACAGATTAAAAAAAAGAAAAAGAGAAAGAAATTATCCCTGCCCTCATGGATCTTACATTCTATTGCATGTCAGAGTCTGTGGTCCTTAAGAATAGGGATTTTTTCATTTTTTGTCTAGCACAGTGCCTGGCACATAGTAGCTGCTTAATAAATACTAGTATACTGAATGAATGTAAATCCCAGTAAGTTGGAAAACAGGGAGGAGGGTTGTGGCTGGGGAAGAGACAAATGAGGACAATTCCAACAGCTCTATAAATACAGGCTTAGATGAGACTGCCCTGGAGTCCATAGGAATACCTGGTTGTGGAGAGCTGCTGCTTCTAAAAGTCTCAATATATATTCTCCCTGTACCCCACCCCCACCCTACACACCACTCCCCTAAGCTCCCCTTCCCCAGCCCCTGAACAGCCTTATCCCTCATGTCCCATAACAAGGAAGGAAGCAGGATAGCCCTGTGATTGCAGCAAATCTGGAGAAGTCAAAGGAAGGAAAAGATTAAATATTTTAGGTCGCAGTTTGGCCATCCCTTCCAGGGCCAGGGAGGGTATGTTCCTCTCTCCTTTCTGAAACCAGGAATCCAATGTGTTTTAGGATAAGTGAAACTGAGCTGAGTCTTCACTGATTTAAAAAGGTGCAGTGGCATATTCAGGGTTCAGAAATAGGAGGTCTGGCAACTGTGGAGAGAATAGAGAAGAGCTGGAGGCCAGGTATTAATTGCACAATAATCCAATGTTCCTACTTCCTCCTTATCTGGAGGCTGAGGTTCAAAGCCAGGCTCTAAAACCCTGTTCTAAAACCACCATGGGTGAAATCAGGGAGGTCAGGAGCACAGGCCGCTGTCTCTGGAAGGCACGAAACAGGATTGATCTCGCAGACTCTGGCATCCTGGTCATTCTGAAAGTAGACGACATCAGGAGACTGGACTGATGGGTCCTCATTAAAGAAGTTATAAGGTTTGAGGAAGAAGCCAACGCCATTCCCCACAGTCACTGTGTTAGGAATATCTTCTGCGTGAGGAATGTGCAAAAAGCCAACAGTCACCCAGGCGACCAGATCCTGGTGGAAAAGACAAGACAGATGAAGAACTTGCTCCTTTGCAAGAGGCCTTCTAAGGGAGGACCCGGTTTGGCAAAATAACTTCCCCTTCCAGCCCCTCAAAAGAGAAATCTCAATCCAGCCAAAGCTCCTTTCCCTCTGAACCAGAAAGAAGCCCGTGAACAAGTAAACTGTATATACAACAGGGGTGATAATTGCTTTTTCCCCCTGCTTCTGCCCTAAAGAGACAGCAAGAGGATCAGTGACATGGGAATGGTGATGGGTACTGTGATGCCCAGGTGCCCCCCATCCCATAAGAAGTTGGGTACCATCTCCTCCAATTGTGTTCACTGATGTCCAATTCTTCATGACCCTACATGGGGTTTTCTCGGCAAAGATCCTGGAGGGGTTTACCATTTTCTTCTCCAGCGGATGAAGGCAAACAGGGGTTAAGTGACTTGCCCAGGGTCACACAGTTAGTGAACATCTGAGGCCTGACTTGAACTGAGGTCTTCCTGACTCCGGCTGGGCCCAGCACTTTATCCATTGAGCTACCCAGCTGCCTCCAAAACAGCACTTGCGTTCACTTATCCGTGTAGGCGATATACTCTAAGTACAATGGTGTGTACCTACTATGGGCTAGGTCAGGGGTGGGGAACCAATGGCCTTGAGGCCCCATGTGGCCCTCTAGGTCCTCAAGTGTAGTCCTTTGACTGAATCCAAACTTCACAGAACAAATCCCTGGAGGCTGCAGGTTCCCCACCCCTGGGCTAGGTGTTGGAGATAAAAAGACAAGAATGAAACAATCCCTGCCCTCAAGGAATTTACATTCTATCGGAGGAAACAGCACATACACATATAAGTAAATATACAATATACAAAGTAAGTGTAAAGTAATTATGAAGGAACTGGAGATGGAGAAAACATGGAAAAGCCTTTAGTAGATGGTGGTCCCTGAGTTACACTATGAAGGAAGAGAAGGATTCTTAGAGGTGTGGGCAGAGAACTGGGGGACAGGTAAAAATAGCCTGTGTAAAGTTAGTAGGAACACCTGGCTTCCCCCACCCCCCACTGTAGAAATCCAAAGACTCCTGTTAGGTGAGCCCGGAGCTGGATCCCCTAGCTTGGCCTCATCAGTGCTCAGGTCACAAGAGTCCTGTCTTTTGAGGGGAGGCCAGAGTGGTGCTGCATGTGTGATGGGGGCATCTGGAAAGAGGCATGCGTTAGGAGGACAGAGTGTGCACTGGATCATGGCAGAGGCAGGTGGGAGCTTCCAAGGAAGGAAACATATTCTACTCACTGGGACCGGGATGGCTCTACCCTCATTACATCAGTGTAAGGAACAAGGTCATGCTGTTGCCAAACATTGAAAAATGGGCCTCAAGACCCAGGGCACTGGGTCTTCCCCAGAATCTTTGGGAAGACCTTGCAAGGCAAGGTGTTATATGAAGGGCAACAGTCAGCTACATTCTGAGGTCAGGGGGGCGGCCCTCTGGTAGTGGTAAAAAATTCAAAAAGGCCCCAATATAAGGAGACCTGCAGGCTGAATATTGCCTTAGAAAACCATATATTAACATTATCTATATTCTACTATATTTTAATGTATTTTGTTAAATATTTCCCAATTACATTTTCATCTGGTTGAGGTGGACCAGGGGGTGTTGTGGGTCACATGTAGCCCGGGCAGCAGGCAGGCATATTTGACGCCTCTGCTCTAGGGAACCCACCACTCCACCCAACTCTATATAGAGTAGTCCACAAGTCCTAATGTTGTTTTAAACTCTCATATTTACTTATTATAATTATCCATTTATTATTTCTATAATTATATATAACTATATTAAATATATTTAATATATAAAAATAAAATATAAAATTTAATTAATTATTATATAATTGATACTTTTGGGCCACCCTGTGTGAGAATTTGGTTTGATGGAGAATAAAGCCTAGGGGAGGAGATTCAGCCACCCTTGCTCTCCCTCCTCTCCTCCCGCCCCGAAGGGTTGCCTACCTTGCCTGCTATGGTCTCGTTGTTGATGAAATCAGCGAAGTTCACAGTAGGGGTCCAAGGATCATTCTGATTATAGATACTGGTGCTTGAAGGCTCTTCCTCCTTCCTCTGTGTCACTGCCAGTTGGTACCTAATCAGGGACTATGGTCAGAGCTCCCAGGTGGAAGATGCTATGATCCCACCAGAAAAGAATAGGAAAAAGGAACAAGGATCTTTAAGTTGTCCCTTCTTCCTCCCCCTTTTCCATTATTCCAGTAGAATTATTCATCTTATCCTAGGATTTACAGTGCTTTCTTAGGCTCTACAGGACTGTTTCCCTGCCTATGGGCAGGACAGTCCCGCCCCCATCCCAGGCAGACAGAAGTCCCTCTCATGTACCCAGGGATCCCCAGAGAAATTGATGACCTGAGCTCTTTGGCTGATCCCTTTCTAGGGTCTTCCCAGGATCCACCAGCCTCCATCTCCTGTACTATTTCTGTAGCCAGTTTCTCTGTAGGCTAGTATATACCCAGTATACTGTTGTCCTTCCCCCCACAGGCCAGCCCCAATCCCTGACCTCTCCCAGCTGAAGGCGCTTTCTATGGTGCTCTCCTGGGGCACTGGCTGCCCTGCAAAGTTGATGATCTGGATTCGGTATCCACGACGGTGACCCCAGACATTGGTATGATTGCTGGCCAGGTAGAGGTATTGAGGAGAGGTGCCCCCAAAGGCAAAAGCTGCCTGGTCTTCGGTCTCCAGTGTTTTTTGAATCAACTGTATCTGCTGTATCTCATGCTTTGGGTTCCAGGGTACAGTTCTAGACTCAAATGCCATGTCCTCTGCTACCACCCAGTTTTCCTGTCCTGCAAAGTCAAGGAAAAGGGTGGTAGATAGATATTTATTTATACAATTATTTTTCTGGACTCACTTCTAACAACTCCAGGGCTGGGAAAGAAAAGTGGCGTAGAATCAAAGAATAAAACAGGATTAAATTACAAACATCTCATACCTTTTTTTTGGCAGCTAGGTGACACAGTGGATAGTATACCAGGCCTGAAGTCATGAAGATTCATCTTCATGAGTTCAAATCCAGCTTCGGACAATTACTAGCTGTGTGACCCTGGCCAAATCACTCAACTCTGTTTGCCTCAGTTCCTCATCTGTAAAAGTGAACTGGAGAAGGAAATGGTAAACCACTCTAGTATCTTTGCCAAATAAACCCCAAATTGGGTCATGAAGAGTTGGACAGAACTGAAATGACTGAACAACAAAAAAATCTCATTCCTTCCTATCACCTCCCTTGGCTAAAATGGCAAAATTGCTCCAAAATTTGGAGGTGTTCTTTCCTCAGTGACTCTCAACCCCAATAATAATCCCAGAATGAATCCTACTCTTCACCTGGTGCCTGGTCTTTCTTTCAAGAACTTCCCCATTCAAGGTGTCAACAACACAGAGCTAAATCACAAATCCCTCTCTATGAGGTGGTTTTTTTTTTTTTACAAATAATGACCAAAGGTATGTTCAGTCAGTCAGTCCATAAGCATTTATTAAGTGTGTACTATGTGCCAGGTATTGTGCTAAGCACTAGAAGCCACTTATCTACAAGGAAACCAAGAAATGGAAGACCAAAAGCATAAAAAAAAAAAGACTCTATTCTTCATGAAGAAGTGACTCAAAAAAAGGGCAGCCATGCCCTTTTTACAACATGCCCTTTTTACATGCCCTTATGACAAGATGAGATCAGTTTGCTTTCTACTTCTTCTCTCTTACACTGAAAAGTGAAGTTATATTCTTTACACAACTATAACTTTTGGTTAAGGAGGGAGAAGAGTTTTCATCCCTTGCCAAGGTCAGAGAATTAGGGAAATCAAGGTACATTAGAAAGGTCATGGAGGGATTGATGACAATACCAGAAACTTCCTCAGTGACTGTGGGGAGTTCAGGTTAAGAAAACCTCATGAACAAGTTATTTGACTTCTCTGGGTCTCGGGCTCTTCATCTGTGAAGTGGGGGGAGGGGGGTTTGAACATGATGGTCTCTAAAATCTCTGGGTCTATGATCCTATGATTCTATGGGGTGCAAATGTGCAAGTTATCATTTTTCATGCCCTCCCCTCTTGGCTGAATGTACTGTGTTGGAGGAGAAAGAATAAATGGGAGGAAGGTAGAGATTTTCTGGGAACAGAAGTTGACCCCCCCCTTCTTTGCCTGCCCAATTTTTTTCCCCATACAACCCCCCCCCCCACCAAATCCCTTGGAGATTGGCATTGGAATGTAGTGCATAGCAAAATCCAAAGGCGGTGTCCCCCGCTCTGCTCTGGTTGCAGAAATCAAGGCCAGAGGGAGCAAAAAGCATGAGCTTTTGTGCCCAAGTTAGACTTGGGAAACACTCATAATCCTCCAGGGAAGCCAGGAAAGAAAAATGAGATCACAGGTTACAGACTTTTCCCTGAGCCCTAATAGTTCCCATGACTTTGTCATGTAAAAAGTCTTATATAAGGAGTCCTTTCAGGTGCTCTGAGGCTGAAGAGCAAGAAATCAAACAAAATCACCAGCTAATTTTAATGCCCAGGATCATGGGAGGCAGAAGAGTACAGATAATTAAAACAACAGCTCAAATAATTTTTAAATGCTTTTAAAAATCAGATCCAATGTCAAAAACAAAAACATCAACCCTGAAATAACTAAAAATAGTTTTCCTAGTATATAGCCTTGAGCAAATAACAAAATAAAATTCTCATCCTGACATTCACGGTCCTTATAGTCTAATTGTCACCTACTTTTCCTAACTTGCCTCCTACAATTCCCCTACTTGTATCCTATGCTTCCAGTCAAAATAGATTTTGCAGTTTCCAACTCTCTCTGCACACCCTGTGCTCCCTAACTTTGTGCCTCGGCTCCCACCGACCCCTCCTGGAAAGTCTGCCCTCTCCACCATCTTTACCTGATCACAAAATCTAGCTCAAATTCTCCTTCTCCATGAAACTCTCCGATTTCCTCAGCTAGAAGTGATCTCTCCCACAGCATTTGTGACACTCTACATTGAATCTCGGTTATTTTATGTACCCATCTTATCTTCCTTATTAGATGACAAGTTTCTGGAGGGGCTCTTTATATCTGACACCTTACCTTGTTTTTTCCTTTGCACACAGTAAATGCTTGATAAACATTTGCTGAATGAATGAATGCACAGATTATTTCAAGGTATCAAACATAAAGGAAAAGATGAGGATTCAAATCTATCCCCTTCTTCCTTTAGCCCTCTCCCACAGGAGCCCTACAGGACCCCCCCTCACCTGCCACATCCAGATCAACTTTGAAGTTAGCAGCATGGGTATGGATGGTGCCTAGGGTATGCTCCCCAACCTGGTTCCCATATCTTCGGCCAGCACCAAACAAAAAGGATGAACTGATATAGCCAGTAGCATGAAATTTGACCTCTATGGCTCCATTGGGGTGAAACGCCATGTCCCACACATAATCATAGTTGAGCAGAGTGGACACAGACCTGACAACCAATACTGTCCCTGGGAGGCCCCCATAGTAATAGGAGAAAAACTCAGAATGGTGCCGCCGCAGGGGGATGCCCTGGTTCTGTTCAAATATGCATAGAGCATCACGTACTGTCCTTGGAGTTCCAGAATCCACGAGAAAGACCCAATCCACATAGGTGGCCAGGTATGGACAGTCCACTCCTCGAGTCAGTGGAGTGGTGAACAAGCCCATGCCAAAACCGCCATCTAAATAGCGAGTTATCATGGCTGCTGGGGAGTTGCCACCATAGACGGCCAAAGCCTCCTGGATGCTGACTTCATAGGCTATGCGCTCCCCTTGGAACCGGATGTCGAAAATCCTCATACCACTGAACAACTCCAGGCTAAAGGTAAAGGTCCAGAATGGGGATGCCACTTGACTTCCTTTGACATTGTATCGGGGACCCTGGGGAGAGAACTGTAGTGGGGGAGGAGAACCAGGGGGAACACGAGGCCTGAGAGATGAAGACGCTCTGGTGCCATTGAGTACAATCTCTACAACCTCTACCCGGCCTCCCTCAAACTCTCGTTCAAGGTAGTCCAGGTTCTTATAGTATCGACCATGGTAGAAGGCTTGCTGAACTGTCCATTGAGCAGGGTCTAGGGCCTCATGGTCTATTAGCAGCTCCAACCCCACAGGGTGGAGGTAAAAGCCAGCACCTGAGATGTTATAGTAGATTCCAAACCAGGTGGCCCGATCCCCAGAGCGCAGACCTCTTGGGGCAGTGATCATTGGCAGCAGGTTCCTCCCATTGTAGTAGCAACAACGGTGGAGGAGACCAACGATTCGAGGCAGCTCCCGTTCAAAGATCATCCTGTTAAGTTCTTCATACTCTTTTGTGGATATCGGTCGCCTGTAATAGGGTAGGGGCCCCCCATGGCGCTGTACAGTCACATCCCGAAGATAGGAAGGGTTGGGTAGAGGCCCCACCACCAGCTCACTCACATTGGGTTGGGCCTGTTGGCCAAAGAAGACAATGGCTAGAGCCTCCCGGGGAGGTGAAGGACCCTCCCTGTCCAGGTGGGCCAAGGCTGCAGACTTGGGGGGCAGCTGCAGCTCCACTGAGAAGACAGAGTTATCAGACAGTTTGGCACGGCTTGCGTCCACCAGCCCTAACCCCAACCTCTGGGTCAGGAAGCGCATCACTGAGACCAGCTCCTCATGGGTCAGGTCTGAGAACAGCTGGCTCTGGACAGGGTGTGGCCTGAACTGATTCTTCTTGGCTGTCGGTGAGGAGCATTTGGAAGGTTGGCTGGAACTACCCCCACCCCTACCGGTCAGCAGGACACAAACCAGGGCAAAGATGGTGATGATGGAGAGAACCAGGAGCACCAGCGCTGTCTTCAGGTTCATGGTCACGTGGATAATCAGAGAGGCAGGACCTGAATAGGAAGGGGGGGAAGGGGGGTATCTCCAGGCAAAGGGAGAGTTTCTTTCAAACTCTAGTGCTTGGGTTTATGTGCCTGGCCACAAAGCGAGGCTGCCAGACTGCAGAGATATAAGGGAATGTGTAGGGCAAGAGCAACAGGGTGGAGGATCAGGAGGGTGGGAGGACCAAGGGCGGGCCAGGGTTGGGGGTGGAGGGTGAGGCGGGACTGAAGTAGAGGGAGCTGGAGCCTCAGCTTACCATATAAGGACCTCTCCTTCCTATCAGGTCTGCTTCAGAGTCAGAGTTGGGGGTCATGGCATGGGGAGGGGAGTTATTCACAATAACACAGGGAGAGGGAAAATGAAAGGAACACAGAAGAGAGATGGGGCTGAGCAGTATTGCCTTTCATTCTACCCCCACCCCCATCTCCAGCCTCTCTCCCTTCCCCTCTTCCACCCTGTTCTCCCACCCTCCTACATCCAGATGTATTCTTTCCTTTAGCTGCAAAATATTGTGCAGCCTCCAAGGGAAAAGTACTCCTCATGCACCCCCACCCTACCAGCTTCCCTCTTTCCTAAATCACAGTTCTGACTCTCTCCCCACCTCTCACAGCCCTCCTCCTTCTGGCCCCCCAACCCCGCCCCCATAACAATTCTGGAGAGAGGGCAGAAAGGTTAAGTTTTTAAAGAATCAAAGTGAAGGGGAAATGGGAAAGAATAAAGAACGCAACAGGACTGGGGAACAGGGTGGGGATGAATTGAGAAGGGATGTATGGAAAGACTCCCAGCTGACTTTTAAGTATGCGCAAGGTCAGTGGGCCTGTGGGGACACAGGAAGAGGATGGGAAGAATGACTGGGGCCAGAGGAGTTACAAAAGCACGGTGCAGTTGTCGGGTTCTAAGCGGGATTAGAAACCAGAGTAGGAAAACGGAGGCAGGTCAGGCACACAGGCAGCCAAGTCCGGGAGGCAGGCAATGGGATTGACCTCGCAGACCCCAGCATCCTGATCGTCCCGAAAGTAAACAGCATCGGGGGAGAAGGCAGAGGGGTCCTCGTCAAAGAAGTTGTAGGGCCTGAGGAAGAAACCAACACCATTGCCCGCAGTCACTGTGTTGGGGACGTCCTCTGCATGGGGGATATGCAGAAAGCTTGCTGTAACCCAAGCAACCAGGTCCTGGGAAAAAAAGGAGAGAACCAGGCTGTGGTGATGAGGATGTAACTTTGCCCACCCCCACCCCCATCTGGCAGGGAGAAAGAGCCCTCCCAGTATCTTCACTCTTCATCACCTAGCTCAACAATAGGGTTTATCAACCAGCCCAATAACCATACTTCCCCCTGTCTCCCATAGGATCCATTGTCCTAGCTGTTCCCATGGGAAGCCAGCTGGAGGATGATTTGTGCTCCAGGTCTGAGTTATCTGCCGAGGATGGGAGGGGCCTCCACTTCCTTACTAGCTCTCTCCAAGGTCACTCTCAGTTGCCAAATCCCAGGGCTTTTTTTTTTGTTTCTTCCTTAAACTCTGCATCATTTCAAACATTACTGACAACACCATCTTCCTGCTTATTCTCTCATTCTTTAACTTCAGAGATACCACCTTCTCTCTGGTTCTCCTCCCTCCACTCTAACAACTCCATCTGTCTTTTTTGCTGGTACCTCAGCATTAAGGTAGACATTCCCCATCAGCCCTTGGCTTTCTTCCTCTACACTCTTAACCCCTACACTTTCACCCTTAGACCTTCAAACACCAGCCCTCTATCAACTGAGGAAATATCTGCAAAGTACTTAGCATAGTGCCTGGCACATAACAGAAACTTATTACTTATTTCCTTCTCCCTTCCCTTCTCTCCCTCTATTCAGGGGATTCAACACATCTTTATCTCCAGCTAGGCCTGACATAAGCTCTGCATATGTGTCTACAAATGTCTACAATTTATCTCCAGCTGGACAAACCTCTCAAGCTCAGCATGTCCAAAATAGAATTTTACTCTTAACACTGCTCCTCAGTATTTCTGTCACTGACTCATCCACTTGCCCATATTAAAGTTCCCTTATCACTCATATCCAAACAGTTAACAAAATTCTGTTGTTTCTGTGTTTGAAACATTTTACACACCCATCATCTCCTCTCTTGTCCCACTTTCACCATTTTAGTACCAACCTTCATTACCAACCACCTGGAATATGAAAATAGCCTCCCAAGATTTTTCACCTTTCATTTTCTCCTTCTCTCAAATCTTTCTCTTTGCTGCCAACATAAAACTTTATGCATTAATTCAGTCACCATCCCGCTATTCAAATGCTTTTTAGGCTGCTTACTGTCTACTAAGTAAAATTCAAACTCCTTTGCCTGGCATTCATGGTCTTCCACAATCTATGGTTACACCATCTTTCCAGCTTTATGCATACTACTCTCCTCTACTCATTACACTCCAGTCAAATTGGACTTCTCTTCTGAATATGTCTGTACTCTCCTACCTGCATGCCTTAGTTCATGGTGTTCCTTGTGGCTAGAATATGTTTGCTTCCAATCTTCCCCTTGTCAAATACAGCCTTTAAAACCCAGTTCAAATGCCACCTGACATAAAGCCTTCCCTGATTCCCCTAACCAGTACCAACCATTTCCCTGACAATTTTCCTTTTTGTTGTACTTATGTATTATTTTGGTTTGTAGTTATCTGAATGAGTAGAAACAGAGCTGGATTTTGATTCAGGAGATGTGGGTTTGAATCCTAGCTCTGACACTATTTTTGTGACCTTGAGCAAGTCACAACCTCTCTTGATCTAAGTGTCCTCATTTGTAAAATGAAGGGATTGGATTAGATGACCAGTAGGGCCCATTCTAGTTCTAGGTGCTATGGTCCTCTGAGTCCTGTGCCCTTCCTAAATTGCAAGATCCATGTGGGAAGGAACTGTTTCTCATCTAAACCCAGCACCTAGAGCACATTATTTTCCACACAGTCTGGAGACACTTAATAATAATTATTGTTGTTGTTTCTGGCCCCTGGTGTTAATCATCAGAGAAGTCCCCATCTTTCCAAATGGCTCAGATATCCAAAGTCAATGTCTAAGGACTGGCAACCTAGAGTCAAAAAGACTGAACAACTTGGAAACTAGGTAACTCCTCTCCCACCCCCACCCCATCTCTAGGGCAACTGACCTCCCCTGAGAGCAGCTCATTGTCAATGAAGTTGGCAAAGACCACAGTTGGTGTCCAGGGATCATTCTGGTTGTAGATGCTGCTACTCTGTGGCTCCTCCTCTTTCCGCCGAGTCACTGCCAGCTGGTACCTAACCATGAGACAGGGGCTTCAGCTAAGCCTAAGGGCCTTAGTTGGGGAGTAGGGTGGATGTTGGAGGGGTGGAATCCTTATACGGTCAGTCTTCTCTCCAGATGCTGGAAGATACTGTTTACCACCTCACTTCCCTTTGGTTTGGAGGAAGGGATGGGGAGCTAACAAGTTGAGATCTCCAGTATCAGGGGTTAGAGGGCTACCCTTTCTTCCCGATTCTTTCCATCCAGATCCCTCCCTCCTTCCTCACCTTCCCCAGCTGAATGCCTTCTCCAAGGTGGTTTCCTGGGGTAGATGTACACCAGCAGGACTATGGATCTGGACACGGTATCCACGGCGGTGACCCCAGGTATTGGTGTGGTTGCTGGCAAGGTAGAGGTATCTGGGGAGGTCATCTCCCAGGAGGAAGGCTGCTTTATTCTCTCTGTCCAGTATCTGCCTTGTGAGTTGTGGACGCTGCAGCTGGTGTTCAGGACTCCAAGGCACAGCTAAGGGTTCAAACACCACATCCTCTGCCACCACCCAATTTTCTAGCCCTGCAGGGGTGAGGCAGGGTAGGGGTTGGATTACAATCATTTGAGATCAATTCTGACAAACTCTACACACACATACACAATGAGTTAAGTGATGAAAAAAAATGACTGCCATCTCTCAATTACGCTCTATCAAATTCCCCACAAGGCTGCTTCACACCTTTTCCTCTATAAAATCCACAACTCTACCCCTTCCCTATCCTCTCTTTCTTAGAAAATAACTCTGCCTCTTCCTCTATTAAGAGTAGGAGTCCTCTCACCTCCCTTCCACACTCCAAAATCTGTCCCATTATCATCACTCATCCTCTCCTTCCTTCTGGTCTCAGAGTAAGATCTCCTTTACAACTCCCCTCTCACCAAGGATAATCCCTCCACCTCTGTACCCATCCCATTTCCTCCAGGCACAGGACTTGATCCATATTCTCTCTCCGTCTTTAGCTTCTTCCCGTCAGCTTATAGACATGCTTAGGTTTCCCCTACCCTGACCAAAGCTTCTCTTTCCTGACCACTTATCCTTACCACTGTCCTATTAGTTTTCCTCCTCTTCTCTCAAATGTAGTATGTCCAAAACTAATCAACTTTCTCCCCTTAATCTGCTCCTCCCTTCTGACCACTGTTTGTGGCACCCACTGTCCACCCAGTCTCCCACATTCATGTTAACCATGGGACTGTCTTTGACCATACCCTCTCCCTTACCTCTCAGAGCCAATCAGTTACTTGGGCATCTTGATTGCATGGCTATCCTCTTCTCATTTGTGCTCCCCTCTCTCTACTCCATGACCACCACTCTAGTACTGGCCCTGAGGACCACTTATCTGGACAACTACAACAGCTTCTTCATAGGTCTTCAATCTCCACGCTCCCTTTACCTCCCCTGCCCTATAGCCCTCAAATCCACCCTGTGTCCATTCTATTAGCAACTCTACTCATGTCACCCCTCTGCTCAAAAATCATCAGTGACTCCCTCTTGCCTTCTCAAGTTCCAATTTTTCTGCTTGATATTCAAGGCTCTCTACTCTCTGCAACCAATGTCCCTCCCCAGCTTTCTCTTTGCTATGCTCCTCCTCGAACTCTTATCCTACAGCCAAATTGGACTATTCTATGCCTTCCACTCTCTCTCTGCTTGTCCTCTTATAACTCTGCCTTTAAGTGCAATGTCTGCAGTGCATTCTGTGGAATGCTCTCACTCCTTGCCTTTTCCTACCAGATCCCTGGTCATCCCTTAAAGTTCAACTCAAATACCACTTCATGCAGGAAACCTTCCTGGAGGATTCCACCCAGCTACCTTGGGTATTGAATTTTGAGTCAAAGAACTTGAGCACAAATTCTGAGGCTGCTTACTACCTATGTGACTTGGGCAAGTGACTTCTCCCTGAGGCTGTTTTCTCATTTGTAAAATGAGGAGGTCATTACCTGAATATCTTTTAAAATAAGGGAAAGGAGTAATATACTTGTCTTGACTAGGGATAGGAGAGATATTTTTGTCAAACAAGTGAACATTATTGGAGACAAAATTAGCTCTAAAATTAAGATATTGGGGGGAAATAACTTAGAGCAAATATTAGCTAAATCTGACATACAAAACCTTTTAAGATCTTACATATGTGCAATTGTCACATATGTAATTTTATGTATACATACACATATGTATATGACCAATGGAACAATGATGAAGAGATATGAACAGACAATTCAGAAGCACAAACTGCTAATAACTAAATAAAATACTGGTAACCAGAAAAATGCAAATCAAGACAACCTTAATATAACACTTCATACCCAACTAGGATGAGAAAAATAGCAAAAATAATCAAAATCAAAATTGGTGCAACCACAAAGAAAGAGGAACTTTTAATAAATTGTTGATGGAGCTGCAGACTGGTGAAAGCATTCTGGAGGGCAATATATATCAATATATAATGAGACTAAAAAAACTGATCATAATTTTTGTTCTAGCAATTCTTATAGGACCTTATCCTAAAACATCATGAAGGGATGTTTATATTTTAAATATTCATAATTGCTTTATTTGCAATAGTGAAAAAAAAAAAAAAGGAAACCATCTATATGACCCAAAATCAAAGAACGGCTGAAAATATTACAGTGTACCAATGCATATTAGTGGATTGCAAGCTGGCCTTGGAGCCAGGAATACCAGGGCTCAAGTCCTGCATTTGCCACACACTAGCTGCGGCAAGTTATGAACCTCTTAGTGCACTAGGCAACTCTCTAAAACTATAAATTGCAGAGAAAGTGCCAACCTGCTTCAGCGGAGGGAGCTTCATTTGAAGTTCTCTAGATCAATGATATCACAGGTTCTAGCCCTCTCTCTATGCTGTGATGTGTGTATACACATATACATACATATACATGGAGACCTCAGCTCAAATCCTGTCTCAGACACCTACTAGCTATGAGACCCTAGGCAAGTCACTTGACCTCTGTTTGCCTTAACCCACTGGAAAAGGAAATAGCAAGCCACTCCAGTCCCCTTGCCAAGAAAACCCCGTGGACAACACAGTCCACAGGGTCACGAAGTTGAACACAACTGATCATTAATAATTATAATTTATGTATTATATTACAGAGCATACAAGCAGACCTATGGAAAAAGATGTAAATCAAGGAAACAGAATCAGAACCACATATACATTGACTACCATGGAAGAAATGGAGGCAGGGAGGGAAGGAAGAAAGAAAGGAAGAAAACAAAAGGCAGAAAAGAACTTAAGACAGATTTGAGAGTACAAAAAGCAAACACATTTCATTTGGTGTTTAATTTGCTTTTGTTTATGGTTATTAAAATAAAAAACTAGAATGAAAAACAGAAAAACAAAAAAGACAGGGTTGGACTAGATGATCTCCAAAGTCCCCTCCAGCTGCAAATCCTGTGATGACTTTGGCAGATTTTACTGCCAGTTTTCATCCTCTGTCCACTGAAATGACGGCGAGAAAAATCCATTACACGCACAAAATACACCTCCCATGTTAACTTCTAAGGTTGGCATGAGATGCTGCCCACAGCAGGGAAAATGGGATGCCTTTCTTCTTAAACGACTGTCAATGGGATTTCTTTAAGGAACATCCCTGGTTCAAAAGAAATCCTGTGCTGCAAAGGAGCTTCCTCCAAGTATGTTCCCAATCTCTTCCCACCCTCATTCAACCCTGCTGTACCTGAGCCTTTACAGTTAGGCTCAGGCGGATATCACTTGAGATAATTAATACACATCAAGTACTTTGCAAAACCTTTAGGTGTTACATAATGAATGAATGCTCTTAGTGTTGAATTTAGGAGTCAGGAAAACTTGGGTTCAAATCATGGCAATGTGGGAAAGTCACTCACTCTCCTTGAGGTTTCCTCACTTATGTAATGGGGAATAGTATCTGTTGTTCCTACCTCACAGAGGTGTTGTGAGGCTCAAGGGAAATAATACCCATCAAGAGCTCTGCAACGATGTTAGTTATTATTAGGTGACACAGGCCTCTCATACTTTCCCTTGGCCACAAAAGCCAGTCTGCTGGTAACCACCCAACTCACTCAAGCCACCTGGACCCCTGTAGTTTATATAGCTGCCCACACCTCCCACACTGCAACATCATGACCCAGAGCATACTGCAAGTGGCAAAGGAGATCAGAGTTTAGGCTGAAATAGAAAACCTAAAACAACTGAATAATTCCGACTAGATTGAGAATGTGAGGCAAGGTCATCACCTTGTCAGAAACCTGATAACGTTTCATGGACTGTCTGTGCCTGATACCTCATAAAATGGACAATATAATCACTTAGGTTACTCTTACCAAATACACTACACTATTTGTGTGGTACTAATTATATCCCACCGGCCTCCTTCCAAAAATTGGTGTTTTGGAACCTCTTCCTTATAGATTCCTTGTCCCCAGCCCCAAATTACCTGCTACATCCAGGTCCAGCTTGAAGTGAAAGGCATGCGTGTGCACTGTCCCCAGAACTTGTCCCCCTATACGGTTCCCAAAGCGAAGAGTATCCTCTCCCCCACCTAGAAAGGCTGTATTGACATAGCCCGTGGCATGGACCCGTCCCTCGAGTGCTCCATGAGGGTGTAATACAAAGTCCCAGATGTAGTCATAGTTGCCCACAGATGACACTGACCGAATAACAAGAGCTGAACCAGCCACAGCACCAAAATAACGACCCTGTGCCTGATTATGGTGTCTTCGAAGTGGCATCCCCTGAGCTTCCTCAAATACACACAGGGCCCCGGGGAGCAACTTGACTGTTCCCTGGCCCACCAGCACATAGGCATCTACCATAGTGGCTAAATAGGGACAATCCACTCCCCTCACAAGCCCCCGACTGTGCCGACCAATCCCATAAGTGCTATCCAAGTAGTGGGTCATCATTGTCTTAGGTGAGTGAGCACCATAAATGGAGAGACATTCCTGGACACTGATCTCATAAGCCACCCGCTCCCCCTGGAACCGTACATCAAAAATCCTCATGCCACTGAATACCCCAAGGCCAAAGGTAAACGTCCAAAATGGAGAGGCTACTTGACTCCCCCGGACGCTATATCGGAGACCCTGGGGTGAGAACTGTAGGGGAGGAGGAGGACCTGGAGGTACCTTAGGCCTCAAAGAGGATGCCCCATCCGGTAAGGGTGGAGCAACCCTAACCACATCCACTTGACCAGCCTTGAACTTTTGCTCCAATTGGCCCAGGTCCTCATAGTAATAGCCTTGAAAGTAGACCTTCTGGATGGACCACTGAGCTTGGTCCAAGTCCCCATGATCCAGCAGCAGTTCCAGTCCCACAGGATGCAGAAAAAAGCCAGCACCCGAGACATTCTGATGGAGGGCAAGCCAGGTGGTACGCTCTCCTGATTCAAAGCCATGAGAAGGTGAAGGTACAGGTGCCAAAGACGAGCCATCATAATTAAAGACAGAAGTCAGGAAGACAGGTGCCTTGGGCAGTTCTACTTCTTTCAAGTGCCTCCATACCTGGGCAAGCTCAGTCTTCAGCATAGGGCGCCGATAATAAGGGAGGGGACCCCCACAGCGCTCTACAGTCACATCCTGAAGGTAGGAAAGGTTTGGCAGTGGCCCCACCACAAACTCACTCACATTGGGCTGGGCCTGATGGCCAAAGAAGACCACAACTAGAGCTTCCCGGGGAGGTGGTGGTTCTCCCCCATCCAGGTGAGCCAATGCTGCAGCTTTGGGAGGCAGCTGTAACTCCACTGAGAAGACACAGTTGTCTGATGGGCTGGCATAGCTTGCATCTACCAACCCCGTCCCCAGCTGCTGGGTCAGGAAGCGCATCACTGAGGCCAACTCCTCCTGGGTCAGATCTGAGAACAGCCGACTCCTATTAGAATGCAGCCAAAACTGACTGACAGGGGCCCTTGAGGGGCAGTGGGGAGGTTGGCTGGAGGTACCCCTACCAGTCAACAGAACACAAACCAGAGCAAAAATGGTGACAATGGAGACAGCTAAAAGGACCAGGACCACCCTCATATTCATAGTAACTACCAAACAGCTAAGTATTAAGAGTCCCAGGGAGAGTTCTCCCAGTTACTTCTCCCAGCTACAGGCATCAACTCTGGGGAAGAAAGCTACTCCCTGGGTTAAGACTGAAGCTCTCCACCCTCTGGTCTAGATGTGTAATTTTCCCTATAAGTGGCTTCTTTGGTCCTGCCCTGTCCATTTTCCTCTTCTGTGGTTTGGCCTCCCCAGTTGCCACCCCCACCCCCCGCCAGTCCATCCTCCCCACCCCCAGGACACCAGTAGCCAGGTTCCAACAACAATAAAAACTGTAGGTACTTTTCATCACTGCCAATGTTGTTGGCTAAAAACTTTTAATTTAGGGGTTTCCTTTAGTTGAAGGAGAGCATAGACCAAGGGTAAAGAAAGTTTTAGAATCTTGAAGTACAACCAAACAGGTACTGGAAAAAGATTCCTGTTTTAAAAGTCTCCTTATGAGGCATCCTTGTGCAGAGGTAAAGAGCATTGGACTGGGAGTCAGACAGCCTAAAAGAATGGCCCTACACTGAAATCCCAGCTCTATCCATTAATATCCTCTGTGACTCAGGGCAAGTCACTTTGGGGGGGGGGAGTTGAAGGGGGGGATGGGAGGGAAAGTCTCAGTTCCCTCATCTATAAAATGGAGTTGGAATAGTTAATTTCTGAAATCCTTTTCTTAAGTTGGATGCTGTATATATATGCCCCTCTCATTTCCACACAGAGCCTTGGGTGAGGATTCCATTTAAGTACAGTCCAAGGGGAGCCTAGAGGTAGCCAGCATCTGTACCACTCCACTTTCCTCCCCCCATTTACCTGTTTTCCTTAGGGTAAATAAGCTAGGTCCTATAAGCCTTTCAAAGAAGAGGGAACTCTTGAGTTCCAGGATTCTATACAGGTAACATGACCATCCATCGCAGAAGACAGGTACTCTTCCCCATGTGTCCCATGTGTTTCTCCCTCACATCCCTAGGAAGCCCTGTTGTCTAATCTCCATTTCCCATACTACAGTCTTTTGTTTTTTAAACTGAGAGGTGGAAGACAACAAATCCTAGTTGTTTTTGTTTTTTGTTTTTGAGTGGCAGCAAGGTTAGGCTTGTATGAGTATGACTGGGAAATGAAAGGTATATCTGCAAGATGTAAATCAAGCAGAGTCCCAGTCAAACATACCAAAAACCAAACAAAAAACTCACCACTCCTAGAAGCGAGCACAGACTAAAAATCAATATATAAAGTCTTTAAGGAATTGAAAACACCCTTCTGAAAATCAGAGATTAAACCCCGTCTCTGACACATCCCCCAACAATGTGATCCTCAGCCAGTCACTTAATGTCTTCTTTGAATGCTCTAGAGTTGATAGAAGATACAGATCTACCATGGTAAATGAAGTCCCTGGCTGGGAGCTCCCACACCAGTGAAATCACAGGCACAGCATGCTTTGCACCTGACCCCTCCCTTGCACAAGGGAAAAAGAGACAGGCAAAGGGCATGGTGGTTCAGTGGGTCAAGCACCAATCAAGCTAGTTAGGATGCTGTCATTTGAGTCTTGGCTCGGCACTAACCAGCTAACATGACCTTGGACAAGTCGTTCTGCTTCTTGGAGCGTCAATTACCTCCTCTATAAAACAGGAATGTGGGTTCAGATGACGTTCCAGCTCAAATACTATAGGTCTCTCAAGTTTGATGATGAGGAAGCTCTACACCAACTACATGAGAGCACAGCAGCCCCTACTGGCAGCTCATGAGAATCACTGGGGGAAGTAACAGATGCCAGAAAAGAAGGAGTTGGGGGAGAGAGGAGAGGAGGAGACTCTCATGTTTTGGAGGCACCGGTTTTAACATAAGCCAAGACAGACTGTGGGGCCATCAGAGAAAGGGTCCACCTCTCCCCCTAATACTGGAAGACAATGTTAGATCAATCTTTACATCTTTGAAGGGAGAGTAGAGGTTGCTCACCTCATCTGCAGTCAGCCTATATAAGGGGAGGTATGTGTACAGAGACTGGCCTCAATTTTCTGAGGATCGCACTGGGGTCTGTGACTTTAAAAAAAGGTCAAAGTACCTGTATTTTTAATAATTTCTTGACATGGTAAAAGAATTTTACATTACGATCCAGGGGAACTGGGGTAGGATAAGGATTGGGGAAGCTGGGTTAGGGACATCAGAACAATCCAACAAACAAAAAATCAAACAACACCAAGAAACACACGGTGGAGAGGGAGAAGGTAGACTGGGGGCAGGAACAGGGTTTAGGGGAGGCCCAACTAAAACACAGCTGGTTTGTTACTGAATATTATTCATGGGAAGACAATGTCCTGACTCCTTCACTATAACATAATGGGGCAGAGAGTAATGCATCCCAGGTGGAAACCAACAGGAAAGTGAGGAGAGAGAAAAACAGAAGGGAAGATGGAAACACACATAGGGCAAGGGCTGATTGGCTGAAAAAAGCATTCTCTCTGAGGGGTAACAGAGCTGGGGGAGGTCAAAGAACCTGTACTAACGAGTGGAATATATCCAGAAAGTTCTCAAGAGAAAGACAGCAGTTCTTCCATGTTTCTGATCCACCCTGCAGATTTTCACACACAGCACAAGCACACACACATGCACACGTACACATATACACCCTACCCTCCTTGGGAAAAAATATAAATAAAAAAAATATTCCAAAAGGAACAAGCCCAAAAGTAGCATCTGGGTCTAAGGGTCAGAGAACACCACTCTCCCATTTGTAACTGATTTAAGAAGAGCCAAATAGTTGGGGCAACAGTCTTTGTAACAATTCCCAACAAGACTCTGAGAGTCACAGGATGGTAGCTGCCCTCCCTCTCCCCCAGTGATCTGCTCAGGTGGAACGGACTGGGCCTCTCAGCTGAATCCTCCTCCACTTAGTCTGGACACCTGACTCTTGAAGCTAGGATGAACTCCTGAAGAGGATGAAAGATCTGGTAATAGGGTCAGGAATATGTGTGGTGGCAGAGCTACATATGAAAAACCGAAAACCTCACAATAAAGACATAAAAAAAACCCTCTGAAAGGGACAGTAGAAAGTATAATATTTCCCAAGGTCCCAGTGGTAGGGAGATGCAATTCAGGAAATACAACCTCCGCCTCCCTTCTCCCTCCCACTCCCCATCCCATCATCAGGGATTCTCTACGCCCACAGAGAGACAACAGTAGCGCCCCCAACCCCATTCCCTCAAAGAAACACTAGGCTCTTTCACTTCCAACTCCCCCAATGTCTAACCAACTAACTGAAAAGGAGACAAACAGACCAAGAGACCAGAGGTGTCTTGGGGTGGGAAAAAGAGTTCAAGAGAAAGTGCATGTGTGCATGGACACACATATGCAAACGCTCCAGAAATGAGTCTCGACAAGGCAGGTTGGGAATGGGGACTAGGGTAGGAGTTCCTGAGGCCTGAAATAAGAGGTAAACACGTCACAGAACTACATGAGAGCTTCATTAGACTCTAACTAAAAACAGAAGAGAGGTGTGATTACTATTTCCAGCCAGTTTCCCCATCTCGATAGTCATGTAACAAACCAAGGCAATGTCGGTCTTGAGCCAGACTCACAGAGTCCCCTGGCTCTGGCCCTGGCCTCAGTACAGCGTCTCTGCATTGCTGCTTCGGGGCCGCTTGATCTTCTCAATGTTTTTCAGGATCATGTCATGTAAAGTGACCTGAGAGAGAGGTTGGGGAAGGAGGAAGGAAAATCACCCACCTGGCTCTCACCCAGCATAGGCACAGGGACTTCAAACAGTTTCAGGTCAAGAGATGGGATCATTGGATATCAACCACCAACTTCATGCCCCTGAATCCTCAGATGACAAGAATCTAACCCCCCTCCCACTGGAGATGAGTGCTGACAGAAGCCAGGGCAACTGGAGGGTTATATGGGAAAGGGATCACTCACATATTGGTTCCTCAGTTCTGATATGATGAGTCGAAGGCTGATATATTCCTTCTCATCAATCTCTGTCACTGTGCGTCGATAGTCTTCCTGAAGAATGAGAAGGAAGGAAAGAAAAGGGAGAGGGAAAAGAGGAGTGGCTGTTTTTCAGGGTCAGGATGAGGGTCTGCTTATTCAAGACTTTAGTTCCTAATGTCATATTTCCCACCCCCCACCCACCAACAATTTTCTCACTTACCACATGGGGATATTTGGCTATTTTAGAAACCAATTTGGCTCTTGTAATGTAATATCTGGAAGAAGAAAGAAGAGGAAAGAGCAAGTAACAGAAGCAGTCAAAGAAGACCCTATTCCCCAATCCCTGGGACAGCTCCCAATAGTCCTACCTAGAAATCTGGTCCAGATAAGATGCAGCTTCACTCTCCACAGTCCTTAGTTCTGCAACTGTCTCCTCCTGTGAAGGATTAAAGAGTTGATTTGTAAAAGCAAATCCATTTGTACTGACACCCCACTGGACACCAGCCAGGAGAGAACCAAAATAGGCAGAACAAACGGGAAAATGCTTCAACCTCTTCCTCTAGCTATCTCCTCTACCCCCATAAATGACCATGTATGTATGTAGACTTTCACTCAAGGATTTTTATCAAACAATCAAGCAAGTACCTATTTTGCAAAAGTCACATAGGATATAAAGCTAAGACCAAAGATGATAAAGGAAGATGTAGGATAAAGAAGACCAAATTTCTGCTCTCAATGAGATAAGCTCACTGAGAGCTTATCATCAAGTTCTGAAGGCATTACCTGAATGGATACACCAAAGTTATTCCCATCTTCTATCCTGGGGATAAGGAGCTGAACCCACATTTTGACCTGGAAAGAAAACAGAGCAACATGAGAATCAGTGGCCTTTCTGTTGCAGAGCATTACTTATGTGAAAACTACTCTTGTATGGAGAAAGAAAGGAAAAGGGTCACTAAACACAGAGGAATGTTGGGGGGGTGGGGGCGGCAAGAAACTGCCCTTCCACCTCAAAAATAAATACAAAACCACTCTCCTCTTCACATAAGCTATTATAATGCTTTTGCCAATCCATCATCCTTTGCACACCCAACCCCCACTCCATTCTGGCCTTACCGTGTTGCATTTCTCGATCAATAGCCGGATTTCAGGTTTCACCTTTTCAATAATGTCCACCAGCTGCTGGTTGCTTTTTAACATCCCATTAGGCATTACAAACACCTTGGTACCTGGTGGGAAAGGAAACAACTTATTTTGTCTGGAAGAGGAAAAGACATTTCTTTCTCCCCTGCCCCAGGACCTGGTATGCCAATCCACACCCCACCCCACCCCACCCCATGACACTAATGCCAGGTCAGGCCTTCCATTCCTCCATTGAAAAGCAGTTTCTGGGTGTTTCAGAATTCTAATTTCAGGTGCATTCAATTCTAGAAAATTCAATCAGACTAGCTCTCCAGACATCAGATCAACCAAGATAGGCTTACAGAAGAAGCAGGTTTGGGGAAAGGGATGGTGCTCACCCTGGAAGGCCTCCTCACACTCATCCAACTTCCTCTTCTTCAAATTGGGCTAAGGAAATGTAGAGGTTAAGTGTTACTCTCCTCAAAGACATCAATTTTTAAATTACTTTATCCTACCCTTCCCATAGTCCTGAAACCTAAATTGAAAGTCCCCCATTGTTGATTCCATTCAATTCAATAAACTTTATGTGCCTGTGCGCATAGCACAGTGCTAAGACACCCAGGATAAAGACAAAGTAAAAACAAGAAATCCTCTCTTGAGGGATAATCTAATTGAAAAGGCTAGACTCATTAAGCAAATAATAGACAATTTGGTATAAGGATGGGTTGAATTTATTTGGATATTCTTGCTTCAGGTCTGCTAGTTCTACAAACAGCTGATATTTATTTAGTGCTTGCCGTCAGACTTGCAAAGTGCTTTACACACATCAAATTTTTATACACAAAGGTATAAGCCAAAAGGAAGGGTGAGCTTAGACAGCAAGAATTCCTGATCGTTGACAGAGTATGAGATACAAACTGGCAAAAAAATCTTGCCCAAGACCAGATAGCCTATAACCTCTAGATACTGCCAGATCTCACAACAGTTTAAGGAACAAGATATTTAAGAGTCTTCTCATGTTATAAATACAGAAACAAGAGGGATTATGGTAAATTCAAAGATACTGGCTCCTAGTCCCTAAAATAAGTCCTTACACTGGTCCCTTATGCAAACAGAATTCTGGTCTAGGGGCATCTACTGGTCAACAACAGAGAGTAGTAAAGAGAAACTTACACCATCCAATCCATCGTGGCTATTGGTAAGAAGGATGGGATCAGGAACAGGGAGATTCATGTCTGAGTGGATCTGGGTTAAATCATGGATGTTTAAGATAGGCTCCTGGAAAGGGAAAAAAAAAACCCTGTATGTTTTCAAGTTAAATAGAAATGGAAGGATGATTTAAGTGGAAAGATGGGAGGCGGGCTGTCAGATGTGGTCACTGTCAACTAGTCTGCTTAACTTTGTTGTAAGAATGGGCTTGGGAATGGAGGCACAATGACATCTAGAAATTGCCCCAATGTGAAAAGAAAAGGAACAAATAAAACCTTTTTTAAGGTGTAAGGAAAGAGAATGTATGTTATAATCAAACACAAAGCAGACAATTCCAATTTGCTATGGAGTCCAGCATCCTGAGGGAACTGGGGATAAAGGTAGCTACAGAAGGGAAGGGAGGGAAAGGAAGTATCTCTCACCTTCAAAAAACTATCAAGTTCTAATAACTTCTTTGGGAAAAAATTTGCCACCAAGTCTTCTGCCTGAAAGGGACACAGTGAAGTTGACTTACTGCTTGCTGGAGGGCTCTTGACATCCAATCTACATACTCCCCAGGTGACCTCTTTTGGGTATCCCCAAATAAATTAGTCTTCTCTTCCCACCCAACACGCAGCATCACTCACCTCACTTGTGATCCGCTCCCTGAAAGAATCAACCTGCAAAGGGCAAGAACAAACATCAGGACTTCCTCCAAGGCCTCGGAGCAAGGGGGAAGCGATGTGCCCTCATAAGCAAAAAACAAACAAAAACTCCACACATACACACCGAAAAACCGTTCCTGGCGCCTCTGCTCACCTTGTAGTTGTAATGAGAAGATGAGAGACCCCCAGATTCTAAGTATTTTATTTTTTTGAGGATCCATTTCTCCATCTTGGGGCTGGTAGTCACAGAATAGGGGCCAACACTCGTCGGTTTTTCCTCCCTCCCTATGTCAGCTTGCTCCCTCAGGTGGGGGGGGTGTAGAGGAGTTGGGACTAGGGGGCTGTGATCTCACAAACGCATCCCACAACCCTCAGTGACGATGCGACAGCACCCAAACACCTGTGGGATCTTGGAGCTGGGAGGGGAGAGTTGGCGCCGCACCATCAGTAAGGAGAGGGTTGGTTTTCGAAGCGGCTTGCCTAGAGGACTCGACCCAACACGTGTCCGTCACCGCTTCCCCCGAGCCCAGTGCGGGGAGAAGCAGCAGCGGCCCCAGAGTAGTAGCATCCCCAGGGTGAAGCAACGCTCCGCCCGCCTCCAAGACGAGCCTGTGGCCAGCCCGGGCTGGTGGCAGAATGGAGCGGGCCTGGGGCAAGGGGAGGGGCGACGGGCTCAGAGATCCCCCCAGGAGACAAAGGCGGCCGCCGCAGGGCCAAGAACCGGCCCGGCGGGGTCGCGGGGAGGAGGCAGGGGCTGCTACCTTGAGCTTCACTTCCTGATCCACCTTCAGCAGCGAGGCCATGGCCGGGGCGGGCCGCGTCCGCTCCGCTGGGGGGTCCGGGGCGGGGGACCGGAGGACCTGGGCACGGGAGCAGGCTTCGGCTTTCTTCGGGCCTCCGCCGGCCTGTCTGGCTCCCTCGCTTCCTCGCTGCCTCCCGGGCGCCCGCCTGCCTTCTTGCCTGCCTGCCTCCCAGCTCGCTCACTCGCTTGCCCGCCCGGCTTCCGCCGCTTGTACCGGAAGTCGCGTCACAGCCAATCGCCGGAGGGCTCGCGGGCGGCACGCGCCGCCTAACGCGCGGCGCAAGCCTGGGCCGGAGGCCAAGGAGTCGTGGTCTGTCTCGCCACTGGTCTCAGCAGCGGCTCTGGGCAGAGGATTGGAGTCAGGAGCGCCCTAGGCGGCTAACAAGAGCTTGTGCCTTCCCCTTTTGGGCCCCGGGGCATTACGTAGAGAGTGAGAAAGGCCACAGGGACCCCGGCCATCATCAAGCCGTCATCGCATCTCGGGTGGACGCGAGGGTCCAGTGCGCCGTCGCGTGGCGATGACGTCACCACGGCGGGACGGGTCCTGGGCTGTCAGTGGAACCCAGCAGGTGCAGGAAGATCCGGGCGGGGATGGGACAATTCAGGGCCCTGAGATGCTTGCCCAGGTGCCAAACACCTGGTCTGTTCTGAGGAAGTGCACCCGTCTTGTCCTGTTTTTTTTATCTTAATCTGGGAGCCCTCTGAGGACAGCGACTGATTCATCATCAATAGAGGATTCAAAGAGTTAGGTTACAAACGGAACTTAGAGATTACCTCGTCCAACCCTGTCCTTTTACAGATAAGGAAACTAAGGGCCAGAGATGGAAAGTTAGTTGGTCAAGGTTACTTACATAGGTGACAGAGCCAGGTCAAGAAACCATAGCTGAAAACAGAGAACACACCCTGATCTAACAACAGTTTAGGACCATGCACAGTGAAGTCCTGCCCCAATGTCATGGGCTACCCCATCTGCACTTTTGTAACTCTCAGATACACTTCTTATGTAATGTTTATTACAGCTATAGGTATTTGGCTCATATCCCATTTGACTGTAACCTTTAAGAGGTCAAGGGTGTTTTCTAAATTTTATATCTCAAGCATCTGGCAGCACATTGCTTTGTACACAAGAAACCTCTTAGTGTTTTTTGTGCTGTACCCTGTGTCAGAAGAGAATTGTAAAGGGTCTTCACAGTTCCTTGAGTAGTGGGCAGAGAAGTTGCACTGTTACGTGCTACAACCTGTCTCTTCCTTATAGTCCTGGATTTGGAGTAAGGGAAGATGAGTTCAAATTCAGCTGCTGACACCAAGATGTTAGCTTTTACTATTCATGGCAGGATAAAAGGTGTAAAGAATAGCTTTATTTTATAGCATTTTGAAGTTTGAAAAATGCTTCATTGTAGTTGATCCTCAGAACCCCATAAGACGGAGATAATGTTATTATCCTGTTTTGTGAGTGAAGAAACAGGCTTAGAAAAGAGAAGTTAATTGCCCAGGGTTACACAGCTGGATTTGAACCCAGGGTTTTTTTTTTCCAGTTCTTAAGTTCAGTTTTCCATTACACCTCATAAGCTACCCACCCCAAGGTGGTCTTGTCAGTCAGTTAATAAACATTAATAAACTGTTCTAAGCACTAGGGATACAAAAAGAAACAAGACAGTCCCTGCCCTCAAGGAATACACAGTCTAATATGGAAGACAACAAGCAAACAAATATGTACAGACAATCTGAATACAAGAGGAATAGGAAACATTGAGAAAAATTGAGAAAGAAGGCACTAGAATTAAGAAAAGTTGGAAAGGCTCCCTGCAGAAGATAGAATTTTAGTTGGGACTTAAAGGAAGTTGGTAGGCACAGATGAGAAAGGAGTGAATTACAGGCATGGAGGGACAACTAGAGAAAATACCTGAAGCTGAGAGATGGAATGTCTTTTTTGTTGGATGGCAAGGAGGCCAGCATCTCTGGGTAGAAGAGTACATGGCTGGGAGTAAAGGTGTAGGAGGACTTTCATTAATGGCCTCTCATTGGAGGAGACAAAGACTACTGTGCTGCAAAGACTACACTGTGAATCTGTTTTTTCCCCCAGTTAATAGTATTTTATTTTTTCCAATTATACATCAAGATAGTTTTCAACATTCATTTTAATAAAATTTTGAGTTCCAAATTTTTCTCCTCCTTCCCTCCCCTCCCCAAGACAGCAAGCAATCTGATGTAGATTATACATGTATAATCAGAACAAAAGGGGAAAACAACAAGAAAAAAACAAAAGAAGTAAAAATAGTATGCTTCAATCTGCATTCAGACTCCATAGATCTTTCTCTGGCTTTGGATAGCATTTTTCATCATGAGTCTTTTGGAATTGTCTTAGATCATTGTATTGCTGAGAAAAGCTAAGTCTATCATAGTTGATCATCATACAATGTTGCTTTTGCTCTGTGCAATGTTCTCCTGGTTCTGCTCACTTTACTCGGCATCAGTTCATGTAAGTCTTTCCAGGTTTTTCTGAAATCTCCCTGCTTATCATTTCTTATAGAACAATAGTATTCCATTGCATTCATATACCACAACTTGTTCAGCCATTCCCCAATTGATGGGGATCCCCTCAATTTCCAATTCTTTGCCACCACAAAAAGAGGTATTATAAATATTTTTGTATATGTGGGTCCTTTTCCCTTTTTTATGCTCTCTTTGGGATACAGACCTAGTAGTGGTATTGCTGGATCAAAGGGTATGCATAAGTTTGGTTGTCCTTTGGATATAGCTCCAAATTACTCTCCAGAATGGTTGGATCAGTTCACAACTTGTGGATCTGATTTATACTCTACTTACTCTCAGTAACTCAACCTCTTCTGCCAGGGAGTTTCAGATCATATGATCTGAATTGGAATGCAGCTAGGGGGTCATCTAGTCCAATTCATACTTAACAGGAATACCTTTCAATAATCTGGACAAGTAAGTGATCACTCAGATTCAACTTGAACACCTCCAATAAAGAGAGCTTTCTACCTTCCCTAGCAGCCTGTTGCATTTTTCTGGCAAGCACAAATGATGTGGTTTAGAGGTTCAGGGGTGCTGGGACCCCATTATCAAAACACGTGGGTCCTGTCTGAAAGAATTCGACCCAAGCCTTCTTTCAGCCAAAGACAAGGTTTATTAGAACATCCGTCATATTGGGCAGACTCTTAAGGGGTCTGAACATTAGTAAGCTATTGGCTAGATTATAAAAATCTGACCAGTGGCTAGGTTTTAAGAATCACAGCATCTTAATAGAGACAAGATGGACCTTATATACAGAAAGAATGTGGGAGGGATCTAGGAGTGGACAAGTAATTTGGGGTGATGGGAGGAGGGGCCTAAGGAGATCTGGATGGGAGTGGCCAGTAAACTGGGGTAAACAGAACTGCTGGGACCTGGACAATGGAGCCTAGCTAGGATTAAGTGTGGGAAATGGCCAGGGGCCATAGGGAGGTAAAACAATGGAGGGGAGATTGGGTGTAGCCACAGTGAAAGGCCAGTTGTTGGGATTATAGCCTCAGGAGAAAGCCAGAGATTTGACCACGTGGAAAGGTCCAGGGCTTTTCCTTTCTGGGGCCCAGATCCAACCCAATCAGATACTGTTGAAAAGTTAATTTTTATGTTTTTGAGCTTTCTCAGGGTCATGAGTTTAGATCTATCTATAAAGGCCCTCAGAGACCATCCAGGCCAAACCCCTCATTGTACAATTGGTGAAATAGGTCCAGAAAGGCTGAGTTGCCCAAGGTCACACAGGTCATGAATGGCAGAGCCAGGATTCCATCTCATATTCTGTGACAAGTTTTCCATGCTGACTTCAAAAGAGAAACAGTCCTGACACCATAGGAGAGTCTAAAGGAATTCAGTTATTTAGTTTCAGTTAAGGTTGAAGATCCTGAGAAGGGCCAGGGAGTTCAGAAGCTTGCCGTTTCTCCAGTTCCCTACCCTCCCGCTCCTGTTCGTGCCCCTCTTGGGTTGTTCCAGGCGCGGAACTGCAATTCTCAAGTCGGGCTGTAGAGGCCGCTGTCGTGCTCCTCTTACTCCGGGACAGACGAGCCGATGCCTGGGATTGGTGGATGGAGTTAGCTTTCTTAGCGTCCTCTGTCACATCCTTTGGAGGACGGAAGTCCCGCCTAGAGGACCGGGAAGTAGGAGCGGGTTGAGATCGGGGCTGTGGGCGATGGGGGTCGGGGAGACGGGGATCCTAGAGAGAGCTGGACGTGTGAAGGTGCCGCCGCGGTAGGCCCGACTTGGCCCGGCCTGGGCAACGGACTCTGGAACGCAGAGGTGAGGAAGAGGCGGCGGCGGTCGTCCTGGACCAAGGCCCTGACTCCGAGGCGAGGCCGGCCCTGACCCCGCCGTCACCTAGTTCCTGCTTTAGCTCGGCCAAGAGTGGGCTCCCGGGCCCTGGGACTGGAGACCCCCGGGGACCCTGGGGTGGAGGGCTGGAATGAGAATCCTAGGCCAGAGAGGCGCCCCCAGGAGCCCCTGCCCCACGCTGATCGACAACCGGGGTCCCCGCAGGGATGGAGGGGTCGAAGTCATCGAGTAGCACCATGCAGGTGAGCTTCGTGTGCCAGCGCTGCAGCCAGCCCCTGAAACTAGACACGTCCTTCAAGATCCTAGATCAAGTCACCATCCGGGAGCTCACAGGTCAGCTTTTTTCTAGGAATTCCGGCGGCGGAGGGGGTGGGGGGAGAACACACGGGACTAGTAACTGGTCACAAGCTGCAGGACCTCGGACAAGTCATTTTGCCTTTGGGTTTTTGTTTTGTTTTGAGTGAAAAATAAGATGAGGTTAAGATGATTAAGGCGTCTTTCACTTTTAATGTTCTATGAGTTCTAGAATCCCATGGACTTTTTCCAACAAAAAAGGCACCTCTTTTTATTACTCTTCTTTTGTGTTGAGTATAAACCGGAGATAGAGAGTTTCAACAGTGGTAGAGAGAAGGAGTGGAGTGGAGTGAAAGTAATGGAAAGAATTTAAATGACCTAAAGTTGATGCTTGTTTTGAGGACAGGGGCAGGTATGTAAATGGAAACAAAATAGTTCCACCAATTGTAAATGGTATTCTAAAGGAAATGGGGGACGGCTATCTTATATATTCACAGCTGAAGAAGTAGGAAACTTTCACTAACTGGAGTAATTTCTTCTCCCTTAGCTCCACTACTTACCACAGCTCAGACAAAGCCTGGAGAGACCCAGGAGGAAGAAACTAACTCAGGAGAGGTAATAGGGTTTATACTTTTCTCAAAGGTAGGACCCAGCTTGTGAAAACTTTTATTCAGAGCTTCTGCTCAGCAAATAGTGGTCCTTTGAACCTACCCAGAACCCTTTTATGGGAGGCATCCATTAGTGAGAAATATTTTATTTAAGGTATCTGTGAAACATTATCAGAAATGCATCTAAATCCCCTGGTTACAGAGAAGTGGAAGACATAACAATTTGAGGCACCTCAAGTAATGGGATCTGGGGAGGCACTCTTCCATGAAGTGTCAGTAACACTTTAGATAAGATTGTTACTTGAATATTGGTGTTTTCTAACATAATTGGGGAATGACTTTATTAGTATTAGCTTTTAATACAAAAGACAGTAATGTGTGAACAAGTTTTGCTTCTAAACACATGAATTATCTATTTTATGATTTACTGTGTTATTTTTAGTCATAGGCTGGCTTGGTCTTACCAGCGCAATTCTAGGCAAACTTTTCATCCACTATGGTTTCAGCAGTATAGGGAACTGCCACATAAGGAACCCTACCCTCCACCCCCAACCCCTCCCAGTACATGTCAGCGGGTTAAGTGACTTCCTCAGGTCCATGCAACTAGTCTGTCAGAGGCAAGACTTAAAGTCAGGTCTTCTTGTCTTGAAAGCCAGCATTCTACTCTGTTATACTGCCTTATGTCCATAATATACAAACATAAATATCTATCTAGCTGAGACATATTTACTTGTTAGGTAAATTTGCTCCTTTCCTCTGGTAGAAAAAAACAGATAAAGATACCTACCACTTTTGGAATCAGGACATTCAAAGCCAAATAGAATTTTAAAAATTATCTGTTCCATTAGTTTGTACAGTTAATCAAAGGTTGACTATACACATATTCTCCTGCCATACACCAGCCTTTGTCATACTCTGCTAATGCTGGGGAATGTAACCACAAAAACAAACCCAGTTCCTGTCCTCGAAGAATTTATATTCTAATGGGGCTGTCCATACACTTAGGGGAGTGATTGGGGTGGGAGGAGTGGGAGGGAACACTTTGGTCTGGAAAGTTACTGGGATGATGAGAATGGACTGTTGGAGAATAGATCACCCAGTCTAGAAACAGTAACTGAGTTGACTTATAGTTCTTGGTTCCAGAATTGGAAGAGGGTGAGAAAAGAGTATGAGCAGTGGCAATTAGTCTTGCTGAAGCTGTGAAGGATGTGGCCAGAGAGGAAGGAGTAAAGATTAGCATAGTGACTGGAGCTTTCCTGAAATACTGGTCCAGGACCAGCAGTTATATTCAGGACAGCAGGGCTATTGTTTGGCACACAAACTGGTACCATAGTCTACTGGTATCTTAACACTGTCCCCTCTCATTTCCAGGAGCCATTTGCTGAAACTCGGCAGGATGGTGTCTCCCGCAGATACATCCCCCCAGCCAGGTGCCTGTTATGCCTCAGCCCCTATTCCATACTAGAGGCACATAAATTTAGGGTGGCTTTCGCTATGTAAGGTCTTAGGATCAGATGGCAATGGACAATCAGATAGTAATCGCTCCAACAAGGCCATGGTATCCTGTCTCCCTTCCCCCTACAGCCTATTACAGCCGTGGAGTAAATCTAAAAAGGGCTTTCCCTGTGGCAGCTATCAGGGTGGGGAGGGCAGATCAAGTAATGCTTGGGAGTTTTAAGTACTGGGAAAGGTTAATCCAGTTTACTTGAGAGGAGGGAACAGAAAAAGAAATCTGGAAATGGTTATTATCCTTGGATTGATATTAATGAAGTTGGGTTTTTTACAGGGGGTATAATTAGGAAATGCTACTCCTTGGCCACCCTACCTACTGAAATTTCTGTGACATGAGTCTCAGGTTAATGCCACCATGGTTGTTCTCTCCTCAATCCAATAAGACTAGCCTATGCAGTTGCAAGAGAAGAGATCAGAGTGGCTTAGAAGAGACCCTGAGCCAGCAAGAGTTGGGGGAATAGGTTTGGCCCTTAAGAGTTTCTTTGGCTTTGCTACCTAAGAGTCTTGCCACTGGCATTTTAGGAGGTGGAGGGGGAACCTCTCTGCTCCCTCATGTGGCTGGTGGGTGGGGGACTGTCTATAGGATGATGTCCACGGAAAGTGCCAACAGCTTCACTCTGATTGGGGAGGCATCTGATGGAGGTACCATGGAGAATCTCAGCCGAAGACTGAAGGCAAGTCTGCCCACCGAAGGGGTATGGTCTGAGCTGGTGGAGGAGTATGTAGTCACAGTCAGTGTGAGGATGACTCTCACTGACTCCTCACAATGAACTTCATAGATCACTCATTTTTTCTTAATTTCTCAGGTCACTGGAGACCTTTTTGATATCATGTCAGGCCAGACAGATGTGGATCACCCTCTGTGTGAGGAATGTACAGATACCTTGTTGGATCAGCTGGACACCCAGCTCAACATCACAGAAAATGAATGTCAGAACTACAAGTGAGTTCCTATCAGAACCTGAGAAATGAGACTCTAGATCAGAGCCAGGCAACTTATTGCTGGTCCAAAGTGTCATTTGGATGAAGGGATCCCAGATTAATTCTTACATGTTTTCCTTGAGTTTAGTTGCATGACAGTATGAATGACAGGTTCCCTCAGATTAAATATGGTGTCTTCGGCAGACGGTGTTTGGAGATCTTGGAGCAAATGAATGAAGATGATGAGGAAAAGTTGAAGATGGAATTGAAGGAGCTGGCACTTGAGGAAGAGAGGTTGATCCAGGAACTGGAAGATGTAGAAAAGAACCGAAAAATCGTGGCAGAAAATCTTGAGAAAGTCCAGGCAGAGACTGAGCGGCTAGATCAAGAGGAAGCTCAGTAAGTGATTCATCTCTCAGTGCATCCCCTTTTCCTTCAAGGCTAAAGGAGAACAAATGGCTGCAGCCTGAATGTGCCTTGGACAGTTCTCTGAGGCACAGATCAGTGACTGCCCAGGGTTGTACAGGAGCTGGAATTTTGGACACTGGGCTTCCCAACTTCAAGCCAAGCACTCTACTTTGACACTCTGCCTCCTGAGGCACTGAGAATACAGAGACAAAACCCAAACAGGCCCTGCTTCCAGAGCTCAGTTTTTACTAGGAAAATGTCAACATGTCATAAATAAATGCAAGGTCATAAGAAAAGGTTCATTTGGAGTTTGAGCTGAGCCTTGAAGGAGGCTGATGAGGGATGGGGTTTAGCCTATGCAAAGGAACAGAATCAGGAAATGGAATTCTAAGTTCAAGAAATAGCTAATAGACTTGTTTGGCTGGAACATAGAGAACAAGAAAGGGATGATATATGTCGGGTTAGATTGGTTGGAGCCAGATTGTGAAGGGCTTTAAATGTCAGGAATAGAAACTTGCATTTTATCTTAGAGCCATTAGGGAACCACTGAATATTTAAACTCATTGGGCCTCAGTTTCATTATCTGTATATAATGGTGGTGGACAGTCTCATTTTATCCTCACGACAACTTTAAGGTATGCAAATATCATTATCCCTATTTTCCAGATGAGAAAACTGAAAGTTAGGGAGTAAAATTACTTACCTGTGTTGACTTTGCTAGTAAGTGGCAGATGAGGACTCAAACCAAGTCTTTTGACTTCAAATCCAGTACTTTCACTGTTTCTCAATAGCTGCTTTCTAAGATCTCTAAAAGTCCCTTCCTGGCTTACAGTTTTGTGATTCCATGACATTGCCTACTCTTAGCTCCCTACAAGCTGAAAGACCAAAAATCTGATGGGGAAAATACTATATGTACCCTTTTGGCACTTATAGTTTAATTGGGGATATGTATAAAATTCAGTAACGAATTTTTAAACTCTACCATTAAGTGTGGGCTAGGCACTGGAAATACAGAAACAAAAAACAAATCCTTGCCCTTAAGGAATTTACTTTGTGTTCCATCTGAGAATGCATACAGGGTGTCTAGGTGTCCGAAAAATCAGAAGGTAGAAAATGAGCAAAGCTTTGAAGGAACCTAGGGATTTTATAGAGCACCAAATTCATATTAGTATAGTGCAAATAAGTGCTCAGAGGGACAAGTCAAATGAGCCAACCCAAGTAGTATATATGTCCTATATAATTTTAAAGGAAATCTCTCACAGTTCTCCTTATGAAAAAAGTTTAAATAATGTTTTGTCCTTTTTGAAGGACATGCCCCACCACAAACAGATGGAATTTGACATTCTTTTCCTTTCCTTACTTGGAAAAAAGAATGGGGCACAATGTCATTCCCTATTTGGCACTCTACACCAAATTCAGAGGGCCCCAAAAGCATCAGAGCCAAAACAGTTCATTGGTTAGAATGATATAAGATTGATAATCTTGGTCACAAAAGTGACCAGCTCTTACTGTTTACCTTAATTACTCACAGATACCAGAGGGAATATAGTGAATTTAAACGACAACAGCTGGAGCTAGATGATGAGCTAAAGAGTGTGGATAACCAGATGCGTTATGCCCAGATCCAACTGGACAAGCTGAAGAAAACAAATGTTTTTAATGCAACATTCCACATCTGGTAATATGGACTTTGGGATGGGAGGAGAGAGGGTGGGGAACAATACACATCTGGATTTTAGCTACTGACCACCAAAGAACCTCTCCCCCACAAAACAGGGACTGTGTTGTGCTCATTATGACATGTTTCTTTTAGTTCAGTGTTAAGAATGGGGTAGGTATGAATTCACCTCATGATTCTAGAGCACAAAATTATCCAACACTAAAGGGAAAAAGAGAACTATTAGGCCAAGCCTTCTAGTCACATAAAGACCTATTTGTCTTGTCACAGGGTACTGATTCTTTCCCCCCTCTCACCTCAATATTTCCCCAAGGCTATGGCAAAGACCCATTAGGGTCACAAAGTTCTTGTTTTTCCCTTTCTTTCTTTCCTGCTTTCCTTCACAGGCACAGTGGACAGTTTGGCACAATTAATAACTTTAGGCTGGGGCGGCTCCCTAGTGTCCCAGTGGAGTGGAATGAGATCAACGCTGCATGGGGGCAGACGGTATTGCTGCTCCATGCCTTAGCCAATAAAATGGGCCTGAAATTTCAGAGGTAGGAGGATCAACCTTTTTTTTGTTGTTGTTCTGCTCCTTCTTGACTCTCCATTAGATTGGCAGCACATTTTCAGTAACACTCTGCTCTGTTCAGTAGATTAAGATTTTCCTGTGGGTGAGGACTATACTTCATTCCTAGACATTTTCACTCTGTAAAGAGTTTTGTCCAAAGAGAGAAGGGGCTATTGAATCCATGGATAACTGATAAACTACATGACCATCTTTATTAGAAAATAGTGTCTTCTTGAATAGCCCCATTATCCATACTTCTTTTTTTAAAGGTATCGCCTTGTTCCTTACGGAAATCACTCGTATCTGGAGTCTCTCACAGACAAATCCAAGGTACTCTGGGCATCTCCAGTTCAACTGCATTATAGAATAATCCTGATAATTATTCTAACAAGACAGCTGAATTTAGTTCTAGTATTGCACTTCAGCTTCTGTCCCAGCCTCAGATGGTCTCTAAAATGTGAATATCTAAGATGCAATTAAAATCCACCCCCCTTGGAACTACAGGGAAGACTTGAAACATTTTTCAAAATCTGCTAGAAAACTCTGAATGAGAGGTCCTAAGGTTTTATCTAGTTGGAATGTATAGGTGGATGGCTGGGGAGGGTTGTGTAAATTGGCCTGAAGAAGGAATCTGTGAGGTAGATCTTTCTCATTCCTATTTTCTAAATGGAGAAACCAGACCCAGAGAAGCTAGGCCGTGTGCAAAGTAACATAGCTACTCCATGACAAGGCAAAAGAGGACCACCAGGATTTTTAGTGGGATTCAAATAGAGCATGGGTTGAAGAATCAGCAGGCCTCAGGCCATTCAGGATACTTTGGTGCCGTGTGTGCTACTGTGCCTCTCTTCTTGAGCAGGAGCTACCATTATACTGTTCTGGAGGTTTGCGGTTTTTCTGGGACAACAAGTTCGATCATGCAATGGTGGCTTTCCTGGATTGTGTGCAGCAGTTCAAAGAAGAGGTGGAGAAGGGCGAGACACGCTTCTGTCTGCCTTACAGGTTAGTGTACTTCCAGCTTAGCATGAGGCTGCAGTGACACCAAACTGACCAGACTTGGGAAGGGTTCATAGTCCAGGTGGTCAGAATAGTGTCAAGTACTTTTAAGGACTAAGAAGAGCAGGAAATTGGTTCTAGATCTTGTAGCTTTGATGGTCAGGGACTTGAGTATTGCTCTCCCTGAATCTTTTGCTCAGGTCCCTTGATCCTATGAATGGAGTAGGATGTGGTCCCCAGTCCCCGGAGAGAAAGAGAATGTTATACTAGATGAGTTTGGGGATTATCTTGGCACGGAGCTCTGGCTTCTCTAGTTTCAAGGGGGTTTTTCCACAAGCTCCTGGAAATAAGCATTTTGGTCAGATGTTGGCACCACCCTTAGTTAACAGGCAGGAGATTTATTCCATCAGTGGAATAGAGCTGCCTTTCCTGGCCACAAAGACAAATAATTTCCTTTCCTTTCTTACTTTTCTTCTCCATGAATGCAAGGATGCTTTAGAGATCAGTGAGGGACACTCTAACCCTCACTCCCCACTGCAACCTACTCCCTGTTCCCCTCCTTTAATTTGCTTCCACGTTCTGTCTCTGCACTCAGCAGTGACAATGGGGTGCTTGTGACAGCCAGCATTATTTTTGGCTTTCGAGCAAATCCAAAGTACACCACCCTTCCCTGACAAGAGTGCTTTAATGGAGAAAATGACGTGAATGGTCCCATGATCATGGCCCTGCCTGTTTGCCTGAGCTGACTTGAATTCTCAGTTACTGATGAGTTCTGATGTGTCTCTGCTGCAGGATGGATGTGGAGAAAGGTAAGATTGAAGACACAGGAGGCAGTGGCGGCTCCTATTCCATCAAAACCCAGTTCAACTCTGAGGAGCAGTGGACAAAGGCACTCAAGTTTATGTTGACAAATCTGAAATGGGGTCTTGCTTGGGTCTCCTCACAATTTTATAACAAATGACTTTTCTTATTTTCTCCATGAGGGTGAGGGAGTCTTCTGCCCTAATGGCTTTAGAATATGTTTTGTTGGCAGAAATGTTATAAATTAAGTTCATTTAATATTAAACAATACAACATGTTTACAGTACCAAAAAGGAAAACCCACAAAGCCACTTTATTTTAAAAGAATAACATTCTATTGTGAGTAGTGTCCAGAGCAGTAACAAAACATGTATAATTCTCCACCAGCCCATTTCACAACTTCATACTCCTTGAAAACAGGAAATAAGGTTGCTTTTATAAAAAGTCTGAGATAAAAGTAGTTATCAGTGGATTTTATCTCTCCTAATTTTATGCATATTCAACATGGTTTTTTTTTTATATAAACACCTCTCTATTAAGAGAAGTGTATATGTGTGTAACATCAAGTAACATGGAAAAATGTCAACCTTTGCCTGGAGGCCACATAATGTGATCAGAAGCTTGAAATTTAACACTTTTCTTTCTCAAGTCTAGTGCTTATTGCCTATCTGCTCTGTGCCAACAGACACATGGCAGAAAAAAGAGACATGAACAGACTTTAATACCGTTTGGAGCATTATGAAGATAATTCTTCGCAATAAAGATTTGCTGCAGTCTGTTACTTTGCAGAGGTGCACTGGTTGTAAAACAATAAAAAAAACCCTTCTATAATAAAGTACTTTGTATTCTGGAAAAAGCAAACTCATGTAACTATGTTAGAAAGGTTGGGGTGTGTGATTTAAAGTATTTATTTAAAGTAGACTAAAAATAGCCAGTTCTGGAAGAGCCGGTGTTTGCTCATTTCAAAGGAGTGGGCAAAGGCCCTATCCTTGGATGAGAATGCACTTGGACTGGGGCATTTGGGACAAAAGAAATGTTATGCCAGGTCAAAGTCACCTGGATTTTTGGTCCTCTTTTCTTCTTACTCTTATTGTCTGTTTTATTTATTTAATTAAACCCCACATTTAAAGAGGAAATTGTGCCTATACTGTAAAACCAAACATTCCAGCCTAGCATTTCTCCCCCTTTTATTTTTATGGAGGCTGCAAAGAATAAAATATATCCACCTAAACCCTTTCTCTGAAGAGCAGCAAACAGAAAATGGTAATATAAAATCAAACTTGAAAGACATGAGATACTTCGGACTTTTTTCTATACTAGGTTATGCAAGATTAAACAGATTGGAGGGGTGGGGGTGGAGAAGGGTCATGACCTGGAGTCTGATGATAATCTGGAAACTCAGGTTTATATGTTGCAGGTGGCAGCAGCCCTCAATGGTCTGGCTGCCAGGTGGTGCAGACCAGGTTGCTGTCGAACTGGGGTGCTGGCTCCTACCCCATGAGTCAGGATTGCATATGAAAACTCAGCAATGCTCTCAGTGGCGATACTGGTAATGCTGTGTAAGTGTTCCACAACCTTCATGGAGAGAGATACAAGCAGCTAGTTTTCTAAATCTTGACCGATTTATTACACAAACATATACATTTTTCTAGATAGCCTCTGGGGTCAAATGTTAACTATATCTTCCTATTCCTCTGAATTTAACTGGAAGATTGGATCCAAATTAAAATGTTTACCAGAGCTAAACTGTATGAGAATAGCTCTTAACACTTAGCACTGCAACCTAGTGTGCAATTGACTTTTACTTAAGGAGATTTTAGGAAATATGAGGGACATGTTGCCTACATGAAATTCTCTCCATTTTAGAGGTAGACTCCCAGATGATAGTTGGCCTAATTAGGGAACATACCTTTTTTTTTTAAATTAGTTTATTTTAATTTATGAACAATCACTTCCATAAGCTTTTGAGTTTTAAATTCTTCTCCCCCCTCCTTGCTTCCCTCCCCAAGACAGCACGAAGTCTGATCTAGGTTATACATATACATTCCTATTAAACACGTTCACATAGTCATGTTGTAAGGAAGAATTGGAACCAATAAGAGGAAGCACAGGAAAGAGAAAACAGAAGAAAAAAAAGAGCAAATAGTATGCTTCCATCTGCATTCAAACTCCATAGTTATTTCTTTGGATGTGATCTGGGAACACACCTTTTCAAAGCATTTTCAATTTTGCTTTGTTAAAAAGCTGAAAATGCTTTAATCAGCAACCTTACCCCAGTTTATCTTGGCTCACTGATCTCTCTCTTGCTAGACTTTGGTACTTGTTTCTGGTGAAGGTAAATCTGCCCTTTCCTTTTAATTGACTGGGGAATGCTTTTTATTAAATGAATCTTGATAATGATGCCACTTAGCAGTACATACCTGGCCCCACCACTCTTGATTTTGGATGAAAGCACTGGCTGCAATGATCCCAACTGCCAAAAGCATAAAGTCTTCTTTCACGGATACAAATTTTCTCCTGAGCAATTAAAATCACAGTTCAGTTTTATAACTAAGGTGAGAATTTTGCTTGCCTAAGTTCTTGGGTCATGGAAATTTGTTATTTGATTACTTTCATATGAAAAGAAATGATAGAACCATAGGTAGCTCCCTCCCAACTAAAAAAACAGGATAAAGCATGAGCCTCATTCATGTGTATTCGATTTACTGGTCTTTTGTATTCCCATCTGTTATCCTAACAACATAATTGTGGGGCTTTCTCTCATCTGCCTTTACAGTAATCAGGCAGTTTTGTCAAAGCTGCAGCCTTATGACTGGCTTGTTTTGTCTGTTTCTTGTTTCTGAAAACAGTCCAAGTATCCCCACGTATAATCAAGAATCAATAATAAGAGATGTTAATTACTTGAATTCATTTAAATATTTTAAAATCTTAAGTCTTTTGGGTTTTGGTTGGGTTGAACTTGCCACATCAGAACAGTAAGTTGCAAGTTCATAAATTACATGTTTATGGGATGAATCCTCTACAGTTATGTCTGTACCAAAGTGAGGGGACAAATTAGTAGGTCTGATCTACTCCTCAGGTCCTTGTCAGAACACTGCCGCCAGTATTTACAAATCTATAGGAGGTGCCTTACCCCTGCTCCATGGGTGTACAGTTCTCAATTGATGCCCTCAGCAGGCTTTCATAGATGGGACCATGCAGGAGATACACCATATCAAGTAATGTCAGGCAGGTTCCATGTAGCCGTTTGACTGAGACCAAACAGCCATTATACCCTGGATGGGGCATGGAGAGGGGTGAAGTCTAATAAGTCAGGGTAGTTCGTTTAAAAGAAGGTCATGTCACATTACATGGGCCACTTTCTGCACATGACAATGGAATGTACCTAATAGGCTAACATTGTTCTTGGTAACTATGTTCTGCTGTAGGGTTGCTCAGTGGATTGGCTGTCTTATTAGGTCATGGTCAATTTCAAAGGTAAAATTGTGGAAGAGAAAACAAAAATGCAGACTATATGAATACCAAAAAAATAACCATGGAAGCCTTATTTCTTTGCACCCCTCCCACCCTTTGCCTTTAAAGAGAACATTCTGAGGAGGTGCCTACTGATTGGAAGCAGAAGCTGGCTATGAGGACTTCTCTTATGTCCTTCCAAAAGATAGAATGCCTTCTCCAAAGCTACCCAAGGACACCCCTCTCTCCAGTCTGCCAAACCACTAGACAGAGCACTTCAGACTACTGCTGCTATTCTCTCCCTCTTTGTTAGGTTGCCCAGAGCCCCGGGGCACATTAATTGCCTCTAGTAGAAGAGTCTCAAGCTACACTTGGCCTTTAATAGCTACTTGCTTGCCTAATTTCCACTGAGATCTTTTGAATGAGATACCTAAAACTTCTAGGAGCATCTCCACATATGCCAGAGGAGTAGGTAGATTGATTTGGAAGTTTAAAGACTTCAGAATGGCAAGTTCTGACTCCAGTAGTTCTTCTTTAGTATAAAGGTACCCTAGGGCCTGGAGGAAATTCAGGACTGTAACATTGCTGACTATCTGAATAAAGAAAAGAAGGGGAGGGGACAGAGAAGAGTAGTCTCTATTTAATAAGTTGGGATTTTTGTCACAAACGTTGGGGGAGGGAGGAGTGAAACAAGTATAAGACAGATTTAGAGCTGGAAAACCTCATTTTACAGATGAGGAAATAGACTCAGAGTTTAGAGGTAGCAACAAAGTGGAATTTGAACTCCGATCCTGCAATCCCAAATCCAGTACCCAAGGATATTTTCCCTTTTATAAATCTCACCCTTAATGATGATTAAAGTATGTTGACTATTCATGTACCTTATGCAAACTGTCCTTGAGTCCAAAGGGGAGGAAAGGTGACCTGTATACAAGATGGCACTAATCCAGCTATTGTGCTTTGAGAACAAGAGTGCAGGTTATAACAGCTGTGTGTGTTTAGTAGGGGTGCTAAGGAAGCATAATTGCACTCTGTAGTTTCCACTTGAGTAAAACCACCCAGCCCAGGAGTAGGTCTCTCAGAGCTGCACTGTGGACAACCTATTTTATTCATAACATCTAGCTGTCCACAAAAGGCCAGATTTTAGAGCATAGCACTGTGAAGGTGGAAGGAACAGCACCAACTCCTTACTTTGTAGTGGAAGGAAAGTTTGCTTGCCAGCTGAACACATGACACAAGTCGAAGTACAAACGTACTGCAGAGCTCTTCTTTCCGGGCCCTCCAGCTCCACAGCTCTGCTTTCTCACTCTCTCTCAGCACAGGTGCTGCTTGGCTGCAGATGCTTTCTGCTTGCTTAACCATGAACCTGGGGGGGGGGGGTTACGAGTAAACAATCTGGACTTCCACACATTCCAGAGGGAGCATTTGTTCTTCAAACGTTGCTACACTTTAGCCTCTCCAATATCAATTTAAGACTTGGTTACACTTGCAAGTAAGGATATCAAGTGCAATGCCAAGGTAAGAGGTGACTGGTACCATTTCAACAGGAGTGAACACATTAGTTTATCTGAGAGCTACCTATCTGCAAAGGCCTCATGCCCAAGACTTTACCTTTCTAGGATTTCTACTGCCTGGTAGCTCACAGATTTTTCCAAGCACCATTGTTCAGACAGGAGAAAAACAAACTCTGCCAAAATAGAAAAGAAAAGCCTGAATCACAAGACGAAACCCTAACCACTCTGAACTCTTGGTGTTGTGTAAAAACCATGATTTGACCCATGAAAGAGGGTCAGGAGGTGAGGAAGATGAGAGTAGAATAACTAAAACAGAGCCTAATTTCTTTTGCTGCCAACATGATCAGAGGCAAAAAGAGAAGTCTGATTGAGTGCCAAGAACAGTGGCTTACCAAGCTTACTCCCGAAGGGTTCAGCAGATAAGAGCTCTTGCCTGGTACCAAAACACATTACCCCCCTTTTCCTGCTCCCTAACTACCTGCTCATGTTCCTGACTACAGGGAGATTCTTGAATAGATGAAAAATCCTAATTCCTATAAAGTTTAATATGAAACATAAAAACAACTTCCTGGAACTTGAATCTTGTTGATGACACTGTCCAGCTTGGCAACCTTCCCCTGGAGATTTCCTATGCACAGCTTAATACCACCATGCACCTTAAAGTGACTGTAATTCCTCTTGTCTGTTAAATGGGACTATGGTGACTTTAATTCCTCCCCACCCCACCTCTTTTTTTTTTTGGTAGGGTATAGGCAGGTTTTGAAAACATCACTACGAAGGTGGGTAGGACAAGCCCTAACTGCCTCTAATATTTCCCCTTGAAAGAATAGTCCCAGTTGGAATTGTTTGGCTTGCAATTCCATAATAGGGTGGGAACCAGGGTAAATCTCAGTTCTCAGCAGAAGAGCTTTCCAAGACCCCTGGGTTTTACATAAAACACCATCAGCAGGACACTGCAGATGGTCAGATATGTGGAGAGAACTGTACAGGCAGCCAAATACCTCTCTTCACAGAAACTTAAGTCTCTGTCAGCTATGTGCTGCGGTGGATCCAAGACAGGCCCACAACTCTCTTGATGTTGCATATAAACACACCTGTGTAAAATATCCTCGCAGGCGCACAGAAAGCGCTACCCCCACCCCCCCCACACACACAACTCTACTGACAAAGTGGAAACTAAGTTAATTCATTTTTGCCGGTATCTCCCATGCTTAGCACAGTGCCTGGCATATGGTACACCCTAAATAAATGCATCTTGACTTGACTGGACCTTGGAAATTTAGACATGAGATAACTTAGGCCAAAATAAAATGCTAGAGTTATTTCTTGTTTGTTTGGGGCCTGAATGATCCGGGCAATGGCTTCAGTTTCCCATTGATTTACTAGGGGGCTGGGGTGGGGAGGGAGAGAAGAAGGGAGATGAACTCCGTGTGGGCGAGGATACTGGAGAGGTGGGGGCTTTAGGTGCCCCTGGTGCAGAACAGACCCTATGCCCCCCAAGTCCTGGGCCCACACCCACGATCCGGGTCTCCCTGAAGCTGCCAGCCTGTCCCCGGGCTTCCCGCACCGCCCTCTCATTCTCCTGGGCCAGGTGGAGCAGGGTGTCTTCGATCGTCTGCGTGTCCACAGCGCCAAACTTAAAGTCGCTGAGGGCGGCCGACCCCCTGGGCCCTACGGCCCCGGCCATGGTCAGCTGCCCCTCCGACCCTCTCGACGACGCAAAAACTTCACGGGCTTTCAGAAACTTCGCAGCCTTTGCGCAGCCTCCTGCTCCCAACGGTTTTTCTAGGTCTCAGCCGCTGAGCTCGCGTCCGCTGAGCTTGCGTGCGCCGAGGAAGCTTCGGCCAATCAGAGGGCGCTCCCAGGACACTCCGCCCCCTTCCGAAGGAAAGGCCAGTCAGACTACAAGTACCAGAATCCTCAGCAGCGGCGAGGACCAAGAGGCGTCCTTCCTGGCGTGCGCCGGGGTTCTGACCCGGTCTTGAGTAGGCCAAGGAGTGAGATGGCTGATACCAGTGCTGGCGGAGTGGCGGGATCCGAGGCCGGGAAGGCCCCGGTAGCGCAGCGCATTGATCCGGCGCGAGAGAAACTGAGCCCGGCCCAGCTGAGTTTCATGCGGCAGGTGGAGCTCTCCCAGTGGCAGAAAACGCTTCCGCAGCGACGGGGCCGGAACATCCTGACCGGCCTGAGCATCGGGGCCCTGGTGTTGGCCATTTGTATCCGTGGGTCACGGAGGCTGGGGGAGGGGGGGAGGGCGGGGGAGAAACGAGGCCGGGGGAGGGGAAGGAGGCGGAGGGAGAGGAAAGTAGAAAGGGTTGGGGAGGCTGGAGGTCCTGGAAGTTCCGGGCAGCCAGCGACTTACCCAAGGTCACAACGCAAGGCAGTAACATAGCCGCGTTGCATAATAGTAATTAGCAGTTGTTACTTAATAATAGCACTAGCTAACATGTATATAGTGCCGCCTATATGCCACGCACTGTGCTAAGAACTTTTTACGTATTTTATGTCATTTGATCCTTACGAGAGGTAGGTGCTGTTTATCCCCATTTTACAGATGAGGAAACTGAGGCAAACTTTTTTTTTGAGGGTGTATTTGAATTCCTGGTCTCCTGGAGACCTCCAGGTCCACGTGACTCCACACCCTGATGCCTTGTGCTGTATCCACTGAGCCAGGTAGGGGTTTCATAGAACCCATATTCTTTAGCCCCCAGATGTCAGCGAATACATAGCTGCAGGCACTGGACCTTTGGTTTCAACCGTTTAGGGAACTCTCTACCAATACAGGTCTGCACCTTTGCAGCTTAGAGCTTTAGAGCCCTCAGAGAGGCTGTGACATGCAGACGCAAGACTTGAACCCAAATATTCTCGGCTTGGAGGCTGGCTTGCTATCCATTATGCAGTACTGCCTCTCAGCACACTGCTTTTATTGTCCTTATTGAGCCTGTGTGTGTGTCCATTGCCGGGCTTGAACCCAGCTCTTCCTGAATTAGAGGCCACTCTTCGCTACTGCCCCAGTGGAGAATAACCGGAAAAGGGCTATGGGGCAGGGGTGGCAGGTAGAGAGCAGAAGCATCGAATATGTACTGTTATTGGGAGCTGTTGTGGGGGGCTGGACAGCTGAGGTGTGGGAACCCCATGAAGGAGGCACAAAAGCATAGACTACTGGGAGGGGGGTTTGGGACAAGCTGGAGGAAAGAAAGTTAGGGAGGGGCATGCTTTGATTTCCTCGTGGTTTTCCTGAGCCCATGACCCCCAGATGGCTATACATTCTACTCAGTGTCCCAGGAGCGGTTCCTAGATGATTTGGAAGACAAGGCAAAAGCTGCTAGAGTGAAAGCTGCTGGCACCAACAGCCCCTAGACCCCAAGTTGGTACTCAGACTCTCTCCACACTGGACGGAACTTCTTCTGTACTTCCCCTCCCCTCCAAGAAAAAGGCTCCTACTGGGATAAACCTCACCTTGGGATGTTGTTTGGTTATGGAGTCCCACCTTACTTTGGTAATTGTGTATCCAGCCAGTTTGATGGGAACACCTATTTCTTCTCCCTCTCCCTACCCCCCCCAAAAGAAATTGAGCCTTTGTCACAGTAGAGAGGAGGCATAACTATGTCACCCTCAGCTTTTTCAGTAGCACCTTATTCATGTCTTCATACTGCTTCCTACTGTAGAGATTTAAAACCATTGTGGGGGGGCAAGTATGGCACCACTATTCTTTGTTGAAATCTGATGTGGCCGTGATGGTAGTCAAGTTGAGGGCTGATTCACAATAAAGTGAATCAGCTGTTCTAGAGCTATGTGAATCTATTTGGGGCAGGGGTGGTTGTGGAAAACTCTGCCAGCTATGGCAATTGTGTTACCCTAAGGAAATGTGAATGTTTAACCAGAATGGCTTTTCCTGCGATCTTTCCACCTGATTAGCAGGTAAGGATCATGGCAGTCATTGGGCTGTGTGAGGCTAAGCCATCCTTCATGCATAAACACACTCATGCTCTCATCTCCAGTTTCCCTCCATTGCCTGGGGCCCTCACAATAGCCTTTACCCACCCCTGGATAGAGGGGTGAATGGGGGTCATCCAGCCCTCATGCTTTCAGAGCTTGCCTGTGCAAGCCTAGGGTGGGGTCTGGAGGAGAGGTTAGATTGGTGGAGTTGATCATTGACCTTGAAATTAAGCTACTCATGGCATGATGCCAGGAGTCTGAGTGTCCTCCACCCCTGCTTCCCGTTGTGAGAGATCTTTTCATCTCTCCCCCTGCCCCCCACTGGTGAGGCTGGGCCCCTCCACCCACCCTCTATTCCCTGCAGGCCTGACAGACCAACGGACTCATTTCCAATATTTTTATTGGCTTCTGTACAAGTCTGACAGTGTTCCCAGCCTTTGGCTGGGGGAATTGAACAGGGAAGTTCTCCACAAGCAAGCAACCTTGGGTAGTTTTAGTGGTTGGTGCTTGGAAGCCCTAGGGTTCACACTCCACACTGCAAAAGTCTCTTCAGCTGCTCTTTTTTGATAGTAATAATTAGCATTTATATAGGATTTTAAGGCTTGTAAAATGCTTTACAAATTTTGTCTCATTTGATAGGGTAGAGGTATTCTCCCCCGGTTCTCCATCCCTATTCCTGGGATGTGATCATTGTGATAGCTGACACTTAACATATTTATGTAGCACTTTTAAGATGTGCAAAGCACTGTCCAGGCATTTCCTTTGGTCCTCACAACCCTGTGAGCCATTATAACTATTACTACAGATGAGAAAATGGAGGCACAGAGTTAAAAGTGACTAGCCCGTTGGGCACACTGTATCAGAGAGAGGATTGCGATCCAGGTGACTCCTGATGTCAAACACCACACCACACTGCCACTCCAGCTTGGTGTAGTATGCTGAGTTAGACTGATCAACCAGGTCCTGAAGGCATCAGCTCTACCCCGGTCCCACATTGCTTTGCTTCTGGACTCACTAAAGAGAAAAGAGAAAGGACTGAACAGACATGGGAGGGAGGAAGAATCTTGGGGTAGAAGTTTCCCCCAGTATCTTCCTCCCTGCTGCCCTCAGTCCCTAGCTCCCCCTCACCATCCTGCCAAAATCCCCAGCGAATGTCACCCCCTTGCTTGGTCGCTGTTCTGGAGAGCCAGCGCTGCTGCCGCTTAAAGAATTCCTTCTCATAATGCCTGGAGAAAGGAGGGATACTGAGTGAGAGGAACCAGGGGACCAGGAGAGAGGAGGTGGGGGGGGGGTCATGCCACTCAAACCAAGGTGGATGCTCGGAGCCTGAAAGAAACTGGGGAAGAGAGTCTTGGTGCAAAAGTAGGAGCTGGAGTGCCTTACCAGGGGGCGGGGGCTCTGGTCGCTGCAGACTATTTCTACGAGAGGCAGGGAAACTGCCCTTGGAGATTCGACGCTGCCGGCTAGAGAGCATGGTAGCAGGAGCCACTATGCCTGGGGGGGGTTGCTTCCCTAGCCTGCTGTAAAGGTCCTCAATCTCTTTCTTCTGCGTCATCTGCAAGGTCTCCACCTCAGACAGGTGTCTACAACAATGCAAGAGGGTTGATTATAAGAGGAGGTGCCAGCACACATACACCAGCTCACCTTTATCTCTTTCCCACTCCCAATGTTTCCCCTAACCCCCTCTCCCATCACTGCTTCCCCATCTCATTCCCCCCTCACTTCTGACGAAGATTCTGCAGCTCTGCCCAGATTCTTCATCCTCCCCGCTGCTCTCTGAGTCCCCACTGCTCAGACACAGGCTACTGCTGTATGTGTAATTCAACCACACCGGGCTGGGTTGGCTTGGAGGAGGGGGGCTGGTGCCCATCCGTGGCTCCCTCTCCTCTTCCCCATCCTCCCCCTCAGCTCCAGGCCCCAGACCCTCTGTTGCCCGATCGCTCTCTGCTAGAGCCTCCCCAGGCTCTGGCCCTCCTCCAGCACTATCCTCTGTGTCTGAGCTCTCGGGGGGCCAGCAGGGGGGTGGAAGGTTCTGGGGAACCCGGAGGTGGAGCTGTTGGCTGTTGGAGAAGGGGTTCGGTTGGCTCCTTTGATGAAGTCACTTGAAAACGCCCGACAAGCTGTGGCTTCCCTTCTGTTGTGGATGGGGAGGCCCGGAGAGGAAAAGAGCAGGGGTTAGATATTTGCCAAAAGATTAAGCTAGGCAAACTCATTAGAGATTAGAGGCCTCACCTTCTGTGATGGGTGACAGCCTGGCTTCAACCTGGAGCGACTGAGAACTGGGGGTGGCCTAAGAAGATTGGGACAGTAAGGGGCAGGTCATGATTAGGGTCACCAATCCTCCCTCAGTACTCCCTTTCATCCTCACCTCACTTTGCTCCTCAGCTTTGGGTGGTGGAAGACTCTCCAAGCTGCATGGTACAAGAGGGGCTGGGGGACTTGGTGGAGGGGCAGGAGGGCTTGGAGGTCGAGGAAGGAGCTGGGGTTGGGGGGTTAGCAGGGACTGAGCCACAGTCATCACAGCCAGAGAGAAGGCACCAGCCAGAGAAAGGAGGGGAGTTGAAGGGGGGTGGGGGAAGAGGAGAAGATGGATTTGGAGGAAAGGAAGAAGTACTGAGTGTGAACTGGGAGCAACTAGGTGGAAATGGAGGTGGAGAACTGGGCAGAAAGGAAGAAGGGCTTGGGGGGAACTGGGAGGATATGATGGGAGATTGGGAGGAATTAGGGGAGAGTGAGGGTGGAGAAGTGGAGGGAAAGGAAGAGGGACTTGGGGGAAATTGGGAGGATGGGATGGGGAACTGGGAGAGGCTAGGAGGAAACGGGGATGGAGGACTAAGAGGGAAAGAGAGACTTGGGAGCTGGGACGATGTGTTGGGGAATTGGGAAGGACTGGAAGGAAACTGGGAGGAAGAGAGGGGATATGGGGAGGAAGTGATAGGTAAGTGGGGGGCTGTGACAGGGAAGGAAGGACCTGGAGTAATGGGGGTCCCAGGAGACAGGGGATACCCTGGTGACAAGGGGGAGGAAGGAAAAGATGTCCAGTTTTTCTGTTCCAGAGAAGTACTGTTCTTGGTTTCTGCAATCGAGAAAGGTGGTGTTGAGACTGCAGCCCTCAGCCCCAGGCCTCCCTTCCACCACCGACTCCAGTTAGGTCACCTTCCCAAAGCAATCCCTGGAGACACCCCTTCCTTCTCTAGGGATCAGCAAGGACAGAAGGAAGACTCAGTACATACCACTGACTGGGAGTGAGAGGGGGCCAGGGAGAGCCGGTATCATGGGCTCCTCCTGCTGGAAACAGGGAGCTCATATCACAAAGTGGAAGGTCTCCAGTCTTTGAAATAGGGGGCTCAAGGGTCAGGGGGTTATGGAGTGAAGGGTTTGGGGTTTGAGAGAATGGCGCAAGGGGAGGGGGAATAAGGTGTTTATTATGGATGTGGCAAGAAATCTGACCTGGGGAGTTGGGGCATCTCCAGTGGCCCCCACAGGGGCCCCTTCTCTCCTTAGCAAGGTCTCCACACGCTGAATAATTTCCCGAATGCGGCCCAGGAATCCACTCTGCTCAGACGGCAGAATGAACTCATTATATACCTGGGGAGATTCAATGTAGGTTAGAGTGAGGGATCAGTTCCTCCATCTCCCCCTCAACAAAAATACTCTATGCTCGAATGTCTCCAAATCTCAAAGTGACGAGTATCTGGGTGCAACTGGGAAGTGCCTAGCAGGACTGGGATGTTATGCCTTGCGCTCTCGATAGCCAACCCTTGCTCTCATCTCTGGAACAAATACATTCCCTGTCACTGAGCAACCTTACTTCCATACACTTCCATACACCTTCCCCTTCTTATATATTTCTTAGTGCTTCAATATCTTAAAAATGGGGCAGGAGAAAGAATGATGGAATCAGAGGCCTTGAGGTCAAATATTTGCTCAGTTACTATCTGAGCAGAGAGAAGCCTCTCTGTTTCTGATAGGGTTGGACTAGATGACCTTTCCATTATAAAGTCTATGACCCTATGAACTGATAGCTAACAGCTATGATATAAATAGCTGCAATATTATGAGCTATTACTGTAACTATTAGCTATTATTGATATGGCTTTTTAAGGTTTACATTCATTATCTCATCGATTCTCATAATGCCTTACAGCTATTATTATTCACATATTATAGATGAGGAAATTAAGATTCTCCACTCACACAGCCACCACCTTAGTTGAAGGTTTCATCACCTCTCACCTGGACTATTGCAATAGCTTCCTAATTGGTCTCACTGCCTGAAGTCTCCCCTTTCCGATCCATCCTCCACAAAGCTGACAGAGATATTCCTAGAGCACAGATCTGACCATCTCCCTTTCCTACCCAATGAACACCAGTGATTCCCCATTACCCTTTTTGGTCATTGTATCCCCCAGTGCCTGGCACAGAGTAGGGGCATAGTAAAAGATGATTGATTGATTGATGGGCAGTTAGGTGGGGAAGTGGATAGAGTGCTGAGCCTGGAGTTGGGAAGACCTGAGTTCAAATCCAGACTCAGATACTTACTAGCTGTGTGACCCTGGGCAAGTCACATCACCCTGTTTGCCTCAGTTTCCTCATCTATTAAATGAACTGAAAAAGGAAACTGCAGACTACTCCAGGGTCTTTGCAAAAACAACAACAAACAAACAAAAAACCAAATGGGGTAACGGAGGGATTGACATGACTGAAAAGACTGAACAACAACAAAATTGGTTGATTGATGATTGAAATGACTTGCCTATGGTCACAGAGTATTGGAGGCAGGAGTTAGTTACCTTCACAATTCTTTCCACCACCCTGCATTGCCTGCATGCTGCTTCTTACAAGGCATTACACTGATATTCCTTTCAAGTGTAGTACTACTTAGTCCTTTCAACCAGTCTTAATTCTATATGAGATCCTGGTGCTGGATGAGGGAGAGGATAGAGAAGCCCAAGATGACAAGCCACACCCACTCTGAAAAGACAACCAACTACAGTAGGCAGGAAATGTTTCAAAGGTGCACAGGAATGGTCCTGGTAATGAGGTTGTAGGACCCTCAATGAGACAGGGCTGAGATTAGAGTTAGTGGCGTTTTACATCTCTGGAAGGATGGGTCAAATCTGGATGGATGAATTCACCCATTCGTTCCTCTGGATAGGTGGAAAGGAGAAAGGAGGGCTTTCTACTTGGGGGTGACATCATGAGTGCAGTTGGGAACTCACATGGCCAATTCAGGGAATTGGCCCAGTCTGGCTGGAGTACAAGATACTTGGAAGGGAGGAAATAGTAAAAAGAGAACACTGAAAAGGAAGGGTTGGGGCCAGATGGTGGAGAGCCCTGAATGTCTGGGTGAGGGAGTTGTCCGGCATCATACAGCAGTCAGGGGCCATTAGAGAATTTTGAGATAGAAGGGATAGGGGGTGGGTAGGTAGGGACAGAATGTTTCAGGAAGTATTTTCACTGCCAAGCTCCTCAGATGAGTACTCTAGCCTCTCTGCCACTGATTCCCTATCTCTAGCTCCCAGCAATCTGACTTTCACTCCACTCCCACCCCCAATACTCTGCTGAAACCGCCCTCTATAAGGCTGCCAGTTACCTTCCAGAGAAATCCAAATGACCTTTCCTCAATCCTCATCCTACTCAACCTGCTGTGTTTGACATGGTTGGCTACCTGATCTTCCTAGACACTTTCTCTTTTGGGTTCCATGGCACTGGCCTCTTCTGGTTCTCCTGCCTCTTGAGCCACTCCTGGTCTGTTTCTTTCAATGATTCCTCTTCCCATTCCCATACTATTGTTGTCTTCAGTCCTTGGTCCTCTGCTCCTTTTTCTCTACACTCTGTCTCTTGTCCACTTCTTGTCCACAGCTTTAACTATTACTTCTCTTCTAATGACTCCCACTAAATTCCCATCCCCAGATTCTCTATTCAGAAATACTATTACCCTCAAATGTAATGCATTCTTAAATGAATGAATGCATCATAGAGCTGGAAAGAAACTTAGGGTTCATCTAATCCAGGAGTGGGGAACCTGCAACCTCAAGGCCACATGTAGCCTTCTAGGTCCTTGGGTGCAGCCTTTTGACTGAGTCTAAGTTTTACAGAACAAATCTCTTTATTAAGGTGATTTGTTCTGTGAAGTTTGGATTCCCCACCCTGATCTAATACAACCCCTTCATATTATAGTTGAGGAAACTGAGGTCCAAAGAGCTGAAGTGGCTTGTCCAAGGTCACAGAGGCAGTAAGGAGTAGAGCCTGGATTCAAATCCAGATCTTCCATAGAGAGATGGATGGATAGATAGAAAGGTAAATAGATAGATAGATGGATTAATAGGTTAATAGAAAGATGGATGGATAGATAGATAGAACATTTATTAAGTGCTTACTGTGTACTAGGCACTGTGCTAAGCTCCAAATCCAGTGGTCTTTCCACTATACAACATGACATAGTAGAGAGTGTGCTTTGGAGTCAGGAAGACCCAGGTTCAAATCCCTGCTCCTGCCGCTGACTTTGTATCTGTGAATAAGTCACTTTCCCTCTTAGTGCCTAGGCAACTCTCTAAGACTTTCAGTGTCAGAGAAGGTGCTGACCTTCATTGGTAGAGGAAATTTCCCCATCTAGAAGTTCCCTTTATCAATGAAGTCACAGGTCCAGTCCCCATCCTCTTTCCACTATGTAACACTGCCTCTCAATCTTCTCCTTGGGGATCCATTTCTATTCCTTTAATGGCAGCTCTCTTATTGCAGTCTCCTGGGCTAGAAACTCTAGACTAATCCTTGACGCTTCCCTTTTTTTGTGGCCAACGTTCAACACATATGTATGCACACATGCCACACATGTGTGTATGTATGTGTGTCTAACCATCTATCTATCCATGCATCCATCCCTCTCTGTCTCTGTCTTTGTCTGTCTCTGTCTCTCTCTCCCCCTTATCTGTCTTAGCTTCCCTCCCTCCCTCCCTTTCCCATATGCACAAAGTACTATCTCCAAATTGTCACTGGACTCAACTGGCATCGAGTTCTGCCAGTTCTTTTGAAATGTCCCTGAGGGGCAGCTAGGTGGCACAGTGGCTAGAGCACCTGCCCTGAATCCAGGAGGACCTGAGTTCAAATGCAGCCTCAAACACATAACACTTACTATAGCTGTGTGACATTGGGCAAGTCACTTAACTCCATTGCCTAGGGAAAAAAAAAAAGAAATGTCCCTAAATTCAACTTCCTCATCTCATGCGTGGATACTGCAACAGTTCTTAGCTGAACTCTCTGCCACTGGTCTTTTTTTATTTATTAATATATTCCACACATAGCTAACAGACTAAATTCCCTAAAATATTACTTCTGTTGTGCTATTTTCCTCTTCAAGAATCTGCAGTAGCTCCCTATTACTGATCACGTCAGTACAAAAACTCCAAAGCGCTCTGCCTGGCAGAGTAGCATGGCAGTTGCAAGAGAAATCAAAGCAACTTTCTATCTCTTCCAGGACATAGTCTACTGCTCTGCACACAGAAAGCACTTAATTAATGCTGGTTGCATTAAATGGAAGGCTAGCCTTTGCTATGAAAATCATCATTGAGTCTATGAGCTTATCATAGACCCAGAGCTGGAAGGGACCTCAGAGGGCATCTAGCTCAACCTCTGGATTTTAGTGATAAGAAAACTGAGACCCAAGGAGGTCAAGTGACTTGTCTGAGGTCACATGTAATGTGCTTCAGAGGTGAGACTTGGACTGGGTCCTCTGACTCCAGGCACTGTGCTAAGTACATAGTAGGTGATTAATAAATGTTTATTGACTGGCTGACTCACTGACTCCAGTACAAGGGCTCTTTCCACTGTTCCATGCTACCTTTAAACTCTGACATCATGTCCATGCCATCCTAATGATTTAACTAGATCTTGCTTTATGTTTTCCCCTTGTTGTATGGATTTAAGTGACTTTTCCCCCACAATGGCCTTCAAGGCCAGGGACCATGCTTTCTACTTCCTTGGTATTCGCCACCATGCCTAGAATAGTGCTGCGGACCATCAATATAGAGAGATCCATCCCGGGCCCAGTCGTGAAAGCCTCTTTTCCTTCTTCCTAACCATGGCAGCTGCGATCTCCTCAGGACTGTCTCCATCCAAGTCGAATCGGAAGGTCACCATCTTGCTGTTGTGTGTCTGCAACTGACACTCAACGACTCGGTCATTCTGGTCCGACACCTTTGAATACAGAGTCAGTGTGGGATGGAGGTCACTGCCCTAGCCCCTAAGTGATAGTGACCTAACTTGGGGAAAGAAAGAGAAGGACAGGTCACACCATAAAACCAGATCACAGAAACCAGGATGGGGGAATGGGTCCTCATTTCCTTCTATGATCCTGCCCTTTTCCATCATTTTTCCCATTGTTCCCTCCTGGTCTTTCCCATGGTATTCCCAAAGTCTAGTTGTCCTGTCACCCCTTTCTCACGCTGGTAACACGTAGGCGGGATCGAGGTCTGCGCTTTGGGCTTCTCCCAGGGGGTCTCCTCATTCTTCCTGGACCTTCTCCTACATCACTGAGTCCTGATGCTGCATCTGAAGTATAACTGGAGAGAGGGGAGGAAGTAGAAGAAGAAAGAGGAAAGCTGTAGGCACACTCATCCAAATTCCTTCCTCCAACCATATCCCAACACCTATTTTGTCCATCCTAATCCAGAACATACCTATCCCCAGGGGAGAAGTCACTGGCTGGACCAGATCGGGGAATGGATAAGGCAAAGGCCTGAAAGAGGGTGAAAGTACATAAGGTTAGTCAGAAGAAATTGGATAGACTCTTCCCACTCTGACATTCGGTGATTCTGGGCCTTGGGGGCCACAGTCAAAGATCCTAACATCCTAGAAAATTGGATCAGGAACAGATGAAGTCAAGGGTAGTGAAGTTCCAAGGAGGTATAGCCAGGGATCATCAGGTAAGAAAGAGAGAACATCTAGGCTTATGGGGTTATGAGTCACAGGAAGATGAGTCAGAGATTTAAACCACTAGCGTCCCCTTCCCCTAATTTAGCCTCTCTCACCGAAGGCAGGCAGATCTGAGGATCAGCAGGGCTGGATGGTTCTCTTCCATGGGGCTGCAGCACTGGGTCTGAAGTTTCAATGAAGCCAGAGGAGCTAATGTAACCATCAGTCTCACAATCCGCTGCAGGAGATGAGATGAAGGGAGGGAGAATTAGAAAGGGCCAACAGAAGGGTGCTGGACAGAGAAGGAGTATGCCTGAGTGGTAAAGAGCTCCAAAGGCAATTCCATTTCTTCCTTCCCAGAGACAGCAATAGGGTTAGAAGCAGGAAGAATCTCTCCCACCCAGGTGGGGAGACTCTTCTACAGAGAGGTGTTATGAGGTGTTACAAGTTCAGCCCCAGGGATAGAAAATCAAAAGGTTGGGAGGAGGGGGCTGCCCAGTACCAGGGATCAGGGATGACGTACAAGTGGTAGAGGAGTAGCTGGCATGACGGAAAAGGAATGGCTGGTGCTGATCTGCCTCAGGCTCCTCAGGTTCAGGGGGAAAGGGAGCTTCGGGACCAGGAGCTGTGGGGGCAACCACTGGAGGTGGTCCCGGGGGTGGTGGGAGTGGCTCTGTCTCCCGAGCTCTACGAAGCTTCTCTCTTTTTCGTTGAATGGCAGCGACTCTTTCTCTAACAGCTCTAGCTACAGGCTGGTAATCTGCTTCACAGACTAGTCCCAGAGCCACCTGATGGAAAGGAAAATAATGCATACACAGAGACAAGTTTACATATACAGACAGTTAGATACAGAAACACAAAACCTCCAGTCATTATTCCTCAGAAGCAGATATTCATGTTGTACAAATTTCTGATTGCACTTGATGTAGAAAGGACCATTGGGGGTGGGAGTGGGGTGGGGTGGGGATTGTGATGGGTTTGATTTTTATATCAAATCACCTGACCTGGAGAAACACCTTTTACATACAAATGGTGAAATAAATGTTGCTACTGTATATTTAACAGCTTAAAAAGAAAAAGAAAAAAAGAAATGAATGAGAAGATCCAGATCTCTCAACTTCAATTTCCCTACCATGGATTCAATCCTAATTGAGTGTGAGGAAGGGATATTATTCAAATCAAAAAATATGCTTAGATTCCCCCTTTAACCTGGACTTTTCCTAAATTAGTGTCATCCACCTCCTCCTAGCTTCCCTTCCTCTATTGAGTGGAACCAACTTCCTCTCCCTTGTTCTCCTCTCTACTTCCCATCCCACTTTCTTCATTTCTCTCCCCACCTTGCCCCTCCTTCCATACAGTAATACTACCCAACACACATCTCCTCTCGTGTCCTTAAGGTCCAGTCTTCTCACCATTTCCTGGGCCACCTCCTCAGCCGCATCCCTTCCCAGCTGGAATAAAAACTCAATGGCTTGGTTGTCTCGAGGACGGCCAACCCTCCTGGCATCCTCCATTCGCAACCACAACTTCAGCCCCGGCTTTTCCCCATCGTCCTCCTCTGCCAGTTCCACATGTACACCTCGCTCTTCTCGAAAGAAGGCATGAGCCAGGAGATCTTGGATGGTGAACCTAGAAATGGAGCAGGTCAGATTAGTTGAGGGCCAATACAGTGTTCTCCTTTCTCTCCCCCACCCCTACATCCCAATCTTCCTTTATTTCCGTACCCCACCCTCAATGTCTCCCACAATTCTGTTCCCAGGCCCCACCTCTCATTCTTATTGGTGCGGATACAGCCTTCTATTATCTCCTTCAGTTCTGGAACCTTCACTTTGTGAAAACTATTAGGCTTCGTGCCCTGGGCAGAAGAAGAGAAGGGACCTAGACTTAGTGTGTGTCCAACCTCAGAGCCAGACAAGACACCCATTTGGGGTTTTCTTGACAGATACTGGTATTTCCTTCTCAAGATCATTTTACAGATGAAGAAACGAAGGTAAACAGGGTTAAAGTGACTTGCCCAAGGTCATACAGCTAAGTGTCTGAGATTGAATTTGAACTCAGGTCCTCCTGACTCCAGGGTCAGTACTCTAACCACTGCACCACCTAGCTGCCCACCCACTATCTCCTAAACTGTCTCACAAATTGTGGACTAGAGGACAGTGGCAATAAAGTTACAACCCTTGTCTTCCCAGAAAAAAAGTATTTCTTTGTCCAGGTATATGTATTAAAAACTAGGCAGCAAAGAAGACTGGAAGCACTGGAATCAGCAGTTGGGGGATCCTTTTCTCCTACTTCCTCACCGAAGTGACCTTGCGATAGATTTGGGCAGCATTCTGGCACTCAGAATAAGGGTACTCAGAAGTGGCCATCTCCAACATGCACATGCCAAATGCATACACATCCACTGCCTCATCGTATTTCTCCTCGTACATCTCGGGTGCCATGAACTCCGGGGTCCCTAGGTGGGGGCAAAAAGGGGATCAACCAGTGGTTCCTATATTCTCCATGGCCCCCTGGTAGAGGAATTTCAACCAGGGCAAGAACTAGATCGGGTGGGCTGGGGTAGGAACATGTTGGGAATGAGGAGAGAGGAACTCTAGGACAAGACTGATCCCCACATCTGTATCTGGCCTGGGTTGGCTTGTGTCTCCCTCCTTTGGTCTTATCTGGGCTTTAGATTCTGCATTTGGCCACACTTCCGAGGAGTTCCAAGGAACCTTTCAACACCTCAGTTCTCAAAGGTTCCCGGGATTGGGGCATTCTGGGGCTGCTTCAGTCTTCTCTAATGTTAGAGTGAGTTAAGTGGGGAAGGGGATGTGGGAGCGAGATTGGGAAGATTCAGGGTAGAAAGGAGTGTGGGAGCACACCGATGACGCTCTTGGCAAAGGAAGTGCGCTTCAGTGTGGCTAGGCCAAGGTCCCCGATCTTGACTGAGCCAGTGGGCCCCGTAATAAAGACGTTATCGCACTTGAGGTCCCGGTGCAAGATAGGGGGGTCCCGGGAGTGCAGGAAGTGCAGCCCACGCAGGATCTGTCGGCTCCAGCGCTGAAGGACCCGAGGCTTCATTTCACGGAATCGCCTCAGGTATCTGGGAGGAGAAAAGAGGAGGTGAGCATGGAGATAGGAGAGTATAGTTAGGGACCACCTAAGGTTACAAGACTGGAGTACTAGACTTTGGGGGAGGTCTTTCTGGAGTCCTTCATCTCTTCCATCCGGTGTCCCTGAGCATACTCCCGCCCTCTTCCCTGAACCCTGCTGGCCCATGGTTCCAGAACTCACGTCTTGAGCGTGCCCGAAGTCATAAGTTCTGTGACTAGTACAATGCAGACTTGGCCCTTCAGCACAGATTTCCACGAGTCGTAGAAGCGGACGATATTGGGGTGCTGCAGCCCTTTCAACATCTCCACCTCTTCGGAGAAACGCTGCCTCTCTGTCCGAGACAGTTTCCGAGTCTAGGGGTGGGGGAGCGGATAGTGAATGCATGCGAAACCCCAAGCCCAGGGGGTGTCCTTCAGATCCCTAGAATGCCTGCATAAGGGGTAGCAACTAAGTGTGGGGTCCTCTTCCGGGCAAGAGAGCCTGAGAACAGAATGGGGGAGGCTGTAGAGGATGGGACTTGAGCGGGCAGGTCTGGAGACTCCCGGAGGTCTGGACCCTGGGGGTGGGGAGGGGGCTGGGTTGGGGGCGGGTGGGGCTCTTGCCCAATAGGCTCCCGGGCCCCGGCCCCACCCGGCCCGCCCTCTCCCGCTTTGGCTCCAAGGACGCACCCGATGCGGTACTCGGACCCCCACAGACGAACACAAGCGCCTTTATGTGGTACGGTCCAGGGGCCTAGAGTTCAATGCAGTCTTTGTGCCCGACTTCGGTGGTGGGAGTGGGAGGGGGCGACCTGGGGCCCGAGGGGGAACCGGAGGGGAAGCACGTTGGAGGAAAAGTGGGAGAGAGGGGCAGAAGAGGAAAGGCAGAACGAGAGGAACTGGGTAGACAAGAGTCAAAGGTAGGACTAGAGAGTGGAGTGCGAAGATCCTGGACTAGGTTTGTTGGAGCCTGAACCCCCGTCTCTCCCCCAACCATTCGCCCCGCGTCTCTCCTCCCTCATCTCCACCCCCCTCATTTTGGCCGCCTCTCTCTTCCTGGCCGTGGTCCCAGGGCGCGGCGTTGGCAGGAGTGAGGGACCATCCTGGTGCCAGGACCCGAGGGGAGGGACCCTTCCCTCAAGGTGCCCACTCCACCCCGGCCTCCTCCCCCACAGTCTCATTGAGGGTTCCGGGGCTAAGTAGCCTTTCAGGACCCAGAGCTGGGAACTACAGCAGATTCTATTCTTCAAGCCACTAGTGAAGTCTGAAAGGGAACTCGGGGAGGAGGGAGACGTGAGTGATTTCACATCCCTTCCAGCACTCACAATCTTCAGCCCAGACCCACACCTGAGGATTGGGAACGACAATGGGGCGAAGGAAGAACTGAGGAATCAGGTGTTCCAACTCCCAACCCAGGACATAGGATCTCTGTTCTCGCTTTCTCGCTGAAGGCTCCAAGGATCTTTTGGGGGGGAAACTTCCCTGAGTCCATGCTGCCAGAGAAGCAGTCTCAGGGTGACGGGTTCTAGGAGTTCCCATATAGTCCCTCTCTTCCTTCACTACCCTGAAACGCTGCCCCCCCCATGGGCCTTTCCGAGGTCCCCTGCGTTGAGAAGACCTGTCCCCAGGGCTTGGGCTTCTCCCCCTGCACCCATGATCTCCAGTGACCTTTAGGGAGGGCGCTGAGGAGAAGGGATCCAGGGCTGGTCTCCCTTTGGATCTTTGGTTGGGGGTGAAAGGAAGAGTAAGCAAATAACCCCTAGGGTCAACCCCAATCCGCTGTGTCTGGACAGGTCTGGTCAGCCATGGGGATAGGGGACCAATCTCTCCTCTGATCCTTCTTCTTAACCCAAGGCTGAGGTGGAAATCAAGGGAATCCTGCTAAGGGACTAGCAGTCCCCACTGCACATTGCCCGTCTGTTTTTCTCAGTGGGATTCTTATGGTATGACTAGTGATCGGACCAGCAGTACCGTCAACGCAGACCAACTGGGACATGTGGGTAGGATGAAGGCTGGGAGACAAACTTAGGATTCTGCCTGCTGCGTCCCCTCGATTCAGGATCTCTCGCCTATGAAGATCTCACAGGAGGGGTCCCCGGATTGGAAGCGATTTTCTACCTTCCTCTGGACTCTGACAGCTCAAGTGACACCCCCACGCCCACCCCCTTCTCACCTGCAGTTCACACCAAGCGACCTCCACCGTCGTGTCTGTGTCCAAACCCCTGTAGACAGTCTTAAAGGAACCACGTCCGATCTCGATGTCGAACTTAAGATAGCGGCCGTCCGGGGACGTGGCCACAGCCTGCGTCTCCGTATCTTCCTTCTCCTCCTGCTCTCGTAGCCTCTCAGGCGCCACCCCACCGGGGCTCTGCAGCATCTCCCCGAAACCCAGGCCTCCCCCCGATCCTGAGAGTTCCGGACGCCCTAGATCTCCTGACTTTCCTGCAGGACCCCCGTTTGGTGCACCCTCCGCCTGCTCCCCGGAGCTAGGCTGTAAAGACTTGGGGGAACCCGGACTACTTAAATCCGGAGGGCCCGGGGGATCAGGGAGGGGCGGGGCGGGCTCAGACCAAGTGCTCAGGAACCCCAGGTCCACCGAACTGCGGCGGCTGAAACGCGTGGAGCGTGGTCGGAGCTCCCCTTTTCCGGAGAAGCGACGCATCCGCCGGGGTGCCGGGCCGAGGCGGGGAGCCCCGGCAGGAGCGGGAGGCGGCGGGGATCTCAAAGCCAGGTCCGCCTCGGTCTGAGACATTGGAACAGGGGGCTCCGGAGCAGGGGGGGGACAGCATGAAGACGGAAAGGGTCTGATAGCACCGCAGGCCAGGAGCCAAAGGTAGCAGGACTCTGCGCTTTCAGGTCTGGGTCAAGAGAACTGCGCTAGCTCCGAGAGTCTCACTCTGGTTTGAGCTCAAGCTTCTGCAATAGGGCTCCAGCCCCGGCCCCTAGCTCTCCTGCTCCGAAGCTCCGCCTCCTCCAGTCTGGCCCTACCCACAGGCCCCTCAGTTGCGGGGCTCCCTCCCTAACCCCCGCCTATTCCCCACCCCTCTTCCCACCCACCCCTGGCCGCCCCTTAGGGGTTTCTATGCTCTCGCATTCCCCCAGCGCAAGCCAGGAGAGGCTTGATTATAGATGCTGCTAAACCTGCTTCATTTCAGACTCCACTTCCTGAGACCCGCTCCCGTCTCATCACCCACAGCTATTCGCCCTCCCCCTCACAGACGACCACCTCTCTCTGCTTCCCCCCAGAAGTAAAGTCTTGTCCTGAATAGCGAGGTTCTTCTCCGCCACACAAGGAGCTAGCACACCAGCCTAAACGAGGGGAGGAAATGTGAGTAGCTCTTGGTTCCAGGGTGGGGGTGAGCCTGCCACCCGCCTGCTCACCCTCGATAAGGCAGACCCACCCCCGCCCGCTAACTGGCCTGAGTAGTTCCAGCGGCGAAATCAAAGGCAGAGGCCACGAGGACGCGTGGGGTTTCTCTTCCACGACCCCGCCCCCCTCCCCCCATCAGTCCGCTGTTTGCTCCAACTGAGAAGCTATACTGTTCGGACACGCCTCTCCATCACCCACTCCAATACTGAGAGCGCCTTCTCCACACCCATCTCCCCTCCCCCCGGCCCCCAACCTGGACCAGTTGGCTATCCTGAAGCCATCTGCGCTTTCCTGTTTGACCACCTCTCCAATAAAGCAAAGTTCAAATCCGCCGTAACCCTTTTGCTTCCGCCTACTAAAGAGAGCCCCACCCACTATGTTTAGAACCTGTAGGGGAAAAAAGAGGGACTGTCACAGCAGCTAGAATTTTTAGTCAAGTGTTTCTTCAAGTTGCAAGATCCTTCTTGTAATGCTGACCAAGAAAGCTTTAACAACTAAATCCTAGTGGAAGGGACTAGAATTAGTTTGGAGAAAATAGATCCTGAAATTTCCTATGGACATTTTAAAGACCACAGGACTTCTTTCTCTTCCTCACCTTACATGCTCCCAAATCACTATGCCAAGATTTACCAATTCACAAACCACTCTCATCATCCTCAGTTCCAGTCCCCACTTTCCCACACACATAACAGTCACCTGGACAAAGACATTGAGAGCTGAACAATCTAGCTTTAATAACATAGATCAGAGCCATATCTGGCATTTTGTTGCCAGTTCTCCCTCTCCGATCTACTATTCCTCTGATGCCCTGTGGGCTGCCTGCAGCCGGGTCCTCCATGTAACCCCTAATCCTCTTTAGAGGATCCAGGCTAAACCTGAAGGGAGAAGTCAGTAGGTACTGTGTACTTGTAGATATGTGTGACTATGTTTTGTGAGTTTACTGACCCTGGATCAGCCAAAGTCCGGAATGAGGGAGTAGAAAGAGTAAGCAGAAAGGAGGCACATCTTTTTTCTCTGGGGCTATTACCTCAACCCACTCATGGAGCAGAACAGTGGGGTAACAGAGGAATTCTCTTCCAAATTCTCCCATGGTTCTCCCAGCCCACAAGTGGGAGGAAGTTGAAAAGTTCCTTTAAGTTACATTTGGGTCTAAGCTCCAATCTGTGGGGACAGAGCCTATCTCCTTCAGAGAATTAAGGAAGGGGGTGGGGTAACAGGGTCCACTAAAAGAACTTGACCCCTCGGCCATCGCTGACTGTGATGATCTCAGCCTTGTGCTCCAGCTGTAGGGCCTGAAGAGCTCGAAGAAGTGTGGCCTCATCCAACCCATGGAACTCTGTGGAGAAAGCAGAGGTGTAAGGGGATCCCATGCTGGAGGAGAAATGGATAGGGTCATTGCTAGTTGATGACTGGTACAGGCTGCTGAACTAAGATGTCTGGTGGGCTGGACATAAGACTCCACCTAGCATTTCAGTACCTGGCAGAGGAGGAGCAAAGGGTGAACCCCAATCACCTTGCACCTAAGCTATAGGAGAGGGTATATCCTAAGGCTATACAGGTTCCAGGTTACTACCAGGACAGCCAACTCTCCTGGCCATGGAGGATGGATCAGGGAGGAGGTGGGCAAGATGACTGGTGACATGAGGTGCCAAAGGCAAGGCAGTACAGGTCATGACATGTACACCTTCACATACACACAGGAGGAGCCTTGTTTCTGACAGAACCTTGGGCTTTCCCCAGCCTGGGCTGTTGTGTGGCCTTGGTCACTATGCAGAACAGTAGCATTCCAAGTCAGGGGGTAAAGGCGGAAGCAAGGAGGGACCTGAAAGACGGGGGCTACAGCCAAGAGCTGTCAATTCTGCTACTGATCTAGAAACTGGTTCTATGGAGAAGTGATTCTAAGGGTCTAGGTGAAGAATGAGCTTTTAGGGAAAGGGATGAAATGATTCAGAAATCAAAATGAACCCCAATTCTTGACTAGACAGAAGCCAAAATACCTGAGTTAGGTCCTCTCTTCCCTGCAACTCACCTCAGCTGATGCTTGAGTCAGGAGGGGATGAGGAACCATTATTATCCTCTGTCTCCCCAAACACCCCCCCACACACACACACCCACCCAAGGGTCAAGATTATGAGATGGATAACAAAACAGGGAATAGCAAATATAGGATTCAAACTGAGAGGGAAGTTAAAGGTATTACCCTCATCCTCTGTGTCATCTCCATTGGTTAGTTCATAAAAGGTAAATACAGAGTTGTTCTGGCCACTCTTTGAAACCTGTGGACATAGAAAATAAGAGCTAAGTGGGACCCATGAGGTCCTAGAGCTGTCACCTCATTGACTCCACCCCTCTAATCCAAGAATCAGGTACCAGAGCTGATTTTAGCCTCAGAGGAAGAGTGCCTGAGTAGCCACATTCCCTAAGGGAAGCTATATTTATATACATACACAGCATTCAAACCACAACTTCTCACGTGTCTAATGAGTGGCTTCTTGTCCTGGCTAGGTCCCTATTCAGGAAGGAGGGTGGTGGCTGGATGTCATTGTACATGTTGTCTTGCTACTAATGCTGCTTCCCTTTTTGGAGGAGTTGGGTTTTGTGGCTGGAAGTTTCAGGAGAGCCTGTTCTGACTCTACAATGGCTCAAAGAAATTCACCGGCATTCTGTGAGTTTGAGGTAGACCCTATGAGTATGAGTGTGAAGAGGAGGCCTCAAGTTATTTTTTTGCCCTTTCCTCATTTATCTCCTGTGGTCAGAGCCTCGGGTCAACAAAGCAGCTAGCGGTTCCCTCCACTGTGCTCTGAAAATATGGCCTTGCCCAGCCCATTCACTCCTGGTAGTGAGAAGGGAAAGAGAGGGAAGCTTTATTCAGTCACAGAAACTGAGGCATCAGGAAAAGGCTTGCCCAAGATGCAGCTTTCTTTTATAACCCATTCCCAAAGTGCTTGGTATGGAGATCTGCACAGTGGAGTGTATGTGTGCACACACAGCGCTGAACCCCAATTCCTTTCTACCCCCAAGGTGAGGTGCTTCTTCTGTACTGATGAGTCTCACCCACTGGTAGATGAGCTTTCCCCATTCTTCTGGTCTCCGCCACAAGATCAAGAAGCTGGACTTGTTCTTATCCAGCCACTCCAGGTTCCCTGGAAAGCAATCATGAATGGGACAATTGCTAAGAGGGTTAATGAGGTGGAAAAAAGTAGAGAAGGCTCTACTTTCAGGACACTGAGAGATTAACTCCCTCCCACACCCAGCTCCCATCCCAAATCCACTGTTGCTTTCACCAAAGAATGTTCCTACCTTTTAATTCATGCCATAGTTACTTACTTCCTACTTACATATACCAGGTATAAAGAGGATGGTTAAGAAAACCCCACTTTTAGAGGCAGATGGAAGTCTATGAATCAAGGAAGCCTACCTATTACTGCGCCAGTCACACTGGGCTCTGCTGCCATGGAAAGGAAGGAGAGGAGAGGTAAAAGAGAGACAAGGACCAAGGAGAAGAGGGAAGACACAAGGGGATCTATACTCAAAGGTAAAACTATCATGGAAGAGAGACTGTACAAGGACTGAGGACGGGGACCTACCTTTCTTCCTCAGTTCCTCCAACACAATCTGGATAGATTCCATGGGGAGCTTCCCTGACTCAGGGTTAAGGGAATGACAGAGACTGGGGAAGTGGAGCAAGTTATAAATTCAAACCCAAAAGAAAATAAAACCCCAGAGATAGTTCCATGCTGAGCAACCACACACAATATTTAGACTATCCAAATGAGATCTGGATTGATATCTCTGGAGGGAGGAGGGAAGAAGGGCTTATATTTACTTTGTACACATTTTTCTATTTACTTATATATGCCCATGTTATTTTCAGCAATGGAATGTAAACTGCTCAAAGGCAGGGGTTATTTTCTTTCTTTCTCTAGCATCCAGAACGGTGCCTTTTGTTACAGAAAGAACAGGCTATAAGGACAACATAATTTCTTGGCCTCTGTCTTTGTCATTCTAAATTGTTTTTCCCAGATGCTCTAGGGATGAACCAGAGAACCCAAGGTCTGTCCAAAGTGGCCCTGAGCTCTTTGGTGCACTTATAAGGGCCAAAACAGGTTAATCGCTCTTGAACTTGCTTGTCCTGTATTACTAGGCCAGCCACCCCACCAACACAAAACAGTCAAAGAGGACAGGAAAACAAAACAAAACAAAACAAAACACACAAACCCTAACCTTTCATATCACTACTAGGCAGATCAGGAATCTGAGAACCTCCAGAGTTGGAAGGAACCTCAGAGGCCCAACCTTAGTCCAAACACCAGTCTCTTCTACAATATCCTAGACAAGCAGTCACCCAGGTGTCACTAAAGGGGAAACTCACCACCTCTACCTCGATAACAAGTCTGTCCTGAGATAAGTCTAAATCTGAAACTTGATTCCAAACCGAGGGGATTGGGAGGAGGGGGGTTTCAGTGTCTCCTGTTGGGACAGGAAAAGGGGGCCCAATGCCTTAAGGGAGGATACTCTGCAGCTTGTTGTTGTTGAAAAGAGGGCTTTCTTGTGCCTCCATCACCGTCATGATGGACTGTCGGTGCAGGCGGCAGAAGGACAAGACCAGGGAGCACCAGGCCGCCAGCTGCTTCTGCCGGGTGTCCACGTTTGGCTGTAACCTGGAGAGGAGACACCCGGGGGTCCGAGGAGGATGGGGAGGAATCAGGGCTGGGACGGGCACGCGGGGAAGTGACCGGGACAGGAGCAGGAGAGGAGAGTGAGGGGAGGGGGAGACCAAAGCAGCGGGGGTAGGAGGGGGCCCACCAGAAGAGGAGAGGAGAAACCGCTCGGAGCAGGGGAAAGGAGAGACCCCCCCACAAGGGAGGAGTCGGGGAGAGTGCACGAGAGCGCGGGGGTCAGCTAAGGGGTCAGCAGGGTCCTTGTCCTCCCCACCAGGGGGGAGGGGCGTCCGAATTCACGCTCCTCGGCCGGTGAGGTGGAGGGCATGGCAGGCGACTTTAGGAGGAAGTGGGGAGGGGAAGTCCCTCAAAAAGGTGTGTGGGGGTCCCTAAGCGGGTCCGAGGCTCACGTGAAGAAAGGAGGGAAGCGGTACTGCCACGGCCACTCGAAACTAGTCGCCATCGTCACCCAGGGAAACCGGAATCACGGTGAAGCAACTTCCGGGATCCGGCGTAGCACTTCCGGAACCGAGCTCAATCGAAAGGTTCCGGGCACTTTGAGATCCTCGCGCGCTGGACTGGGTTGAACCAGTGAGAGGGGGCGAAGGCGCGCGCCTGTGCCGCGGCGAGGTGTGGAAGAGGGGTGCTGCGGTAACTCTTAGGGAC